CTTTGCCTTTTGCGAAGCTGCACGCACGCGTCGTCGGGGCTTTTTCCGCATTTCCTCGTACAATCTCTCTCTCTCGGAGACATATAGGAATTTACATAACTCGCTCGTCGACGGCGATGATTCTCCATCCTCCGTGGCAGCAAAACTACCTGCAATGCACTTTACGGTATGTATTCGAGAGAGACGACTGGTATTAACGGCGAGAGCAGCAGCGACTCGAAGCTCGCGAGAACATTTTCACGCGCTACATTATATGACGAACGAGTTGGACGTGGCTCTTAGTAATGTGTACTACTGCCAACGACGGCTTAGCTCTCGCGACGTTGTAAATAACACAATTGTGCCCGCTTACAACAATACTCCCCATTGGGCAATTGCATTTTTAATAAAAAAGAAAAAAACGTAGAACTGAATATGTCGATCGCGCGTATTGCACCTTGCGTCGAGCTGTTGTACCTGCGCCGAAAAAAAACAAGACTTTATCCATAAATCAATTTATGCTATACGAACACGACGTTGGTACGTTCTCCTTGCGCGGCACTCTTGGCACGTATTTATGTATATATACGTGTGTAATGCCGCCAACATGCCGAGGAATTATTGCGAATGCGCCGAACCAGTATAGTTCACGTGCCATACCGCGATCTAGACACGCGCGCGAGAAATGAAAATGAAAATGCAGCGCAGATCTGATTACGATTCGTCGAATTCGCTCCGAATACAATCGGCAAAAAACAAAATCAGTTCTGACAGCGAATCTCGCGTGACTGTGCGTGCGACTTGCCTCTCGATTACAGTTACTGAATAATTTTTGTGCTTTTCCGTACCGAGTGATATTGTGTATTATTTACTTCGAGCAATCAATTTGGCTAATGGTGAATGAATCGTGCCGTTTTTTCCCTCCCAAGATCAATCTGTTTACTTCCTAAGATAACGTCTTAATCGGTAATTCCAAATTAAGAACCATTCATAAGTCGTAGAGTAAAGTTAGATTGTTGACGAAATTCCATTATTCGTAATTGTTATTCCATTGAGCGTCTCTAAACGTGCACATCCGCGTGTACAATATTTTTGCGGTGCACACCAGCGCAGCAGTGTCAAGCGATCTCGCTTTTCTCTTATATGGAATCGTCGTCAAGTTTTCTCGCGTGCGACTTTCTTGAATTTAAGAAACACACACACGAGCGAGAGAGAGAAGATATTCGCAGCCGCGCGCATCGACAATAATACATTATATACATCGTGCGGATGTATTTTTCCTAATTAAATAAAAGTTAATATTTAAAGCCGCGAAATGACTCAACAGGCCGCGCCGCGCAAGTGAAAGTGTGCTGTTGTGTTGGTACGAACTTTACGCGATATGTGTAAGAAGATTACAGCGTTTTACTCATTTCTTTTGTGTCGAGGCGTGTATACATAGGCATGCGTGTATAATATATAGGCAGCTGTATAAGGTGTACTTAAGTGCGAGTATTTAAGGTCGGAAGCATGTGCGGAAAGCTGTGGCGGCGGTGCGCTCGTTTGTTTGCATTATTTTCTCCGATTCTCGCGCTCGCGGCTAAATGCACCAAATATACTCGCGTTAATTTTTCGCCGTAATTCCGTTTGTTGTTGTTACTTGCGTATATGTATATAGGGATACACACACGAGCGCGACAATAAAAGTACGTGTGTATATATGTAGTAGCGGAATTCGACGCGCTTCGAAAAATGTTATAAGCACAGAGAGCAGCAGCAGCCACTTTCACCACCATAGCCGCACCGTACCAGCTTTCCTTCCTTCGCCATTGAAAAATAATAATAAAACTTGTGTGTTTGTGTGCTTGTGTGGCACAATACAAGAAGCAGCGGAGGCAAAGAGTAACGAGATGCCGAATAAATGTAATTGGAAAGGGATCGGTGGTGGTGCCGATCGGAAATTCGAACGCACGCCGTTGATAAAAAAAACATTAGAAACTCGAGAGTCGCGGAACGTTGGCGATATCACAATACGTTCAGTGCAATATATTGCAAGGTGACACTAGCTGCAGCAGCAAAGCGTGGACTGTCTACAAAAATACACGTAACGAAGTAAATGCGAAAAAAATTGGTGCCCGTGCTGCAGGTGCGCGCGCGCGAGACCTCAATATACACGATAATTATTAGCATCGTCGATGAACCAATGATTACTACAAGTGACTCGTGCTCGTTCGTTTTTTTTATCGCTATGTATGAAAGTTCGAGGCTGGAAAACGATTCGCCGATGCGTGAAAAGGTCGTCTCTGCTTTAGCTCTTTGGCTACAGAGTATGGATATAGCTGGCTATTGTATCAAGTACTATTGACGCAATCACACACTGTACTCGCGCGCGGCTATTATAAAGCACACGCCGTATACGTATAGAGTAGAAGTCTTCGGTCGCTGCGTACGATAAATATTGCCTCGCGCGCATACATACACACATACTTACTGCTATATACGTGCCGAGTCGGCTGATTATGCCTTGTCTAACGGCTAATATATGCCTCGTGTATACCGCGTTCTCTCTGAATCTTTCTATACGCGGTACAGAACACGGCCGATATTTCACATAGCAGAGAGAGAGAGAGAGAGAGACAAGCTCATACGAGATCAGAGACGCGAATCGGTTGCGAAATTATATATCTACTAAAACTGCTCCTAAGGCTCGTCGCTCTCAATGAGCGCGTCTGTTTCAGTTCTTTTTTTTCGTAAATCGACAGCCTTGATACTCGTTTCGTGTCGCACAAACTGCGATTTTGATGGATGCTGAGCAGCAGCACCAAGAAAGGCCGCGGGAGCTGATAAAAGAGTCGTGCGCACGAGTCTACCGAATTGCTCGCTGCAAGTGTTTATTAAAATTACTCCGTCGCTCGCGTTGTCGTGCTGCTGCAAAATGTGCTCCAATAGGACCGCGTGTGGTACATGCGCTGATCACGAGCTATCTCACGCACGGTGGGCTTTTTGGAGCAACTGCGAAGCGTCTGTTTTGTGTACGGTTGGGCCCGTCGTCGAGCTATCGATTGCTCCGATCCACTGTGAGAGTCTCGCGAGCTTTTACGACTCGCTATACGAGTACGCCATGTGTGATAATGACTAATGATTTCTCGAGAAGCATAAAACTCAAGATGATCGAAATTAGCGATGTCTTGACACAAATCGAAATCGACTTGGCTGCGAAGGCGTGAAAATGTCCCCTCTCCAGTTCTCCTATATAATAATATACATTCGCAGATGGAGCACGAACAGCAGCAGCAGCAGATGTTCCGTGTCTAAGAGACGGTGAAAATTCGCGCGCGCAGCAGCACATAAGAGAATTCGAGTTCATTGTCTCTCGAGAGAGCTCTTGGCTTTTTCCCCAGCTGCAGAGCTGTTGCTGCTCGTCGTCGTGCAGCAGCCTCGCAAGCCTAAACATATAAACGTATATATACACGTTTATTTCCGAACAAAGACAAGGATCGCACGTCGCGGTGCGCGCGCTAAATGCAACTTTCATCGTTGACTAATCGCTTCCCGCGCGCCGAAACGTCGACGTCTTCTTCTTCGCATTATTATACTATTCATCCCACTGCGAGCACAGCTGTAATAATAACAACGATGATAATTTAAGCGTAGCTCGTCGCCTAATCACGCGCGCACCGCGAATTTCGGAATATCAATCAACGCGACGTCGTCAGGCAGGCAGGCACGCGTAGACGTGCGTTCGTTAAAAGACTACGCTCAAATTGTTTATTGTATATGCACGACTGGTCGTATACGCTCACGCACGCTCGTGCATTTTAAAGTCGTTGCCGCGCGCGTGGATAGGTCATTTTATATTATATCCGGATCGTCGCGTACCGCTGCTTTTCATATATTATAAATTTATTCGACTCGAGAGCCGTAACGTTATACGCTCATGTATACGCGCGTAGAAACTTTTGTTACTGCTTTATACTTGTCACGCTCGTCCGGCTGCAGCGATGTCCGCCTGCGGCCATAAGTTCAAAGTCGATAGTGGCTATTTATTAGCACAGGCGCCGCGATCATCGTTGTGTTTTGGAAGTGAAATTACTTTGCCGTCGTTGATTAGCTGCGACAAGGGGTTCAAGAGCGAGCGCGCGAAAAAACTCGCACGCAATTATTTGCAATAAATGTGTTTGGCGATCGATTCACGTTTCTCGGTACGCACAATGATTGCGCGATCAATGTATCGATACGTCAATCAATAAATAAAAAAACAATTTTATCTCAGAAGTATGTAAATTACGCGATCGGTATATTATATACAGTTGGCGGACTAGCGCCCGAAATATGAACTCGCTCCGCGTCACCGCGAGAACGAAAAGAAAGGCTACCACGCGACAGCTCTGCATATTTATCTGCATAATAATATGCAAGTGTCTGTGTGAGCTGTCTCGCAGAACCTACAACGGGCATGTGAATGTATAAGCGTGGGTCGCCCCGAATCGAGTCGTGGGTGTCGGAGGATGTTGCGAACGAGCTAAGAAGTCGATTACGTCGCGACGTTAGTATTTTTACAGCTATATAAGTGTAGCTGTGTATCAAACGTCAGGATTCCATTCGCAGCTCTCCGAAATGTTTTTTTCCAAAAGGGCCCAGGCAGCCTATTGTTGTTGCCGATCCTACGCATGCGAAAGCAAATTCGACTTCTCTGCGGTCCACATTGTGTCGCACATGTGCGCTGATGAGCCTATGAGTTATTTACATTCTTACGCAACGACTCCTACTTCTTGTGTACGATCGTTATAAGTCGCTTCCGGAAAAATAAGGGATTTTTATGAAAATTGACGAGGCTTTAGTAAAGTACGCCAGATGCCCATAAAATTTTACACGAAAAGGGCAAAAAATACAGCTGGCTTCGGACTCGCCCACTGAAATGTTTTGGACCGTTGATATTCGCTCTGCGAGGTATATTTTACCCATAATGCACTCGAACTAGATTATACAATCATCATTTATTAGTCACATAACTAAACGTTGTATTTTTTATTTGTTTACAGGTACATTGACAAAACTACCAAGTATGGCAAGGTACGACTGGTTGCCAAAAACAACTTGGAAATAATCGAGAGCTCATCTCTTATCAATGATTTGTTGGGTAAGCAAGTTTAGCTCATAGTGAGCTTTTTTGCCCGTGAGAATTTCCGTATTGTCCAATCCTCGATTGCAATTCGAACGCACTACATGCGAAAATGATAGACAGCTTTTTCGAAGTACGCCCACGAGGCCAATTAGCTCGAGACGTCGAAACGAATAGTCCAAAAGTCGAGAGAAATTGGCCGAATGCTTAGAGATACAGGACAAAACTCGAGAGATCGTAGCGTCGTAGCAACGGCGGTGCAATAAATTTATCGCAGCTGCGCCGCTTCTGTTATTGTTGTTGCCGTTGAAGGCTTCATTGTGTAGGCGTCATGTAGCGCGTTGGTCCCCTTCCGCGCCTGCTGCGAGCCAAGCCGATCCGACACTATATGCTATATTATCTACGGAGCGATGCCCTCGTTCGACACAGTTTCATAATAACAACGACGTCGACAATTGTTTTGCTAATTACTTTTACGCGGCACGATCTTGTGTGTGTGTGTGTGTGTACACTTACAGCTGTCATTGCACTCGCGCGAGCTTAACGAAATTGTCACTCGACATTTAAAGAAAAAGAAAAGACACTGCGCGGCGATATCGCGTTCGCGTTATATTATATAGTTTAGCAGCTTTGCGAGCGAGAAAAACGCAGTGTATTAAATAAATGCACCGCGCTCAAGTACACCAGGAACATATTATAATATCTCGCGCACAAATTTGCAACGACTAGCCTCGTTGTTGTTGCTGTTGTTGCTGCTGTTGTCATCACGCGTCAGCGGCTCGTATTCGCAAGTGCATACACACAGCTGCGCTTGCTGCAATTTTCCTTCCTCTCGGCTCGCGATCGTTGCGTTTTGCCTCAAATGTGCAGGTGTTATTGTTTTCGAGGCGTGCGCCGCAGCAGCTGGCCTATGTATGTGTGTGTTACGGCGCGCGAGGGGTCCCCCCCAGTTTTGTGTACTTGATACGGACTTTTCCGCACGCACCGCCGCGGCGGCCTATGTATATAATACGGCGGTGGCGGCGGCGGCATCGTGCGAGCCGCCTCATGCTACTTGCCGATCAGTAAACTGTAAACTGCCTGCACGCGAGCACGAGCATATACGCATGCCTACGCCAGAGCTCGCGCATTCATATCGTGTTTACTTTTATTACACCGGAGCATATAATGAGGATGCGAGTGATCGTTGTTGCTTCGAGTTCGGTATGAGCTGTCGGTTTATCGTATCGGTACGCGTGTGTATGTGTGACCAGTGACTCGTGCCGATTCGTTCTCGTCCAGCTCTCGACTCGAGTCGATTAGTTTTTTCACGTACGCAGCTACAGGCAAGTTTCACAAAGTCCAATTCGTCCCGCTTGATTATTTACCTTTTCTTTTCTTTTCATCACTTTCATCAATTAGTCCGCGATGTATTGTACTCGTACGTTTCGACGCTGTATAATAGCGTACGCGATTCGATCGAATCACAGATTTTTTTGAGTGCAAAACTTTCCCGGCGATACAATTAATGGCGTTGAATTAAAAAACTCTTTTGTCCTAGCGGTTTTGAATAAACTTTCTACCTGCTATGGTCCATTTTGAGGTTTTTTTTTTACTTTGATCGCATTGACCTTTGATATAATTAACGAGCGTTGTCAGTATAGTTGAACTTGCTTTGTACATCAAAGATACGTCAAAACATAATTCACCATTGATAAAAATAACCAAGGAAGATAGTATAAAAAAATTATCATCGTGTTCATATTTGACATTGCGCGGTAATGTACGTGTGGAAAAATGAGCGCGTTCGTTCGTTTTCATATCGCATCCGGGAAATTCTTCGGTGCTGCATCACGCGTGCCTCGATCCTATACTACCTGGTACGGCGGGATTTGTCCTCAAAATCCCGTGTAACTGGACACAGCTGAAATAGTTGATGGACGATTTTGCGTTGATCATCGCGAACCATCGTGGCCAGCTCGAATTTGCCTAGAATACTTTACGAGTACTTTGCTCTCGGGCGCGTCGCATAGAATTTCATTGAAAAATAGGCGATTTATCGTTAAAAAAAACTTCAAATTTTAATGCAGATTAAATTCTCTACTTAGGATTCGATAAAATTTGATTGAAAATTAATGTTTTAATATACTGATTTACTTGTTGCATCAATTGTATAAGAAATGTATTGAAACTCAATGACAATTAAAAGCCAGCTTCCGACGCTAGGTGGCGAGAACCTTCATTTGTAAAATCTGCAAGTGGAAAAGTCAAAATAACTGTTTAAGTCAAAGCACAGATTTTCAAACCTTCGTATGACACTCGTAGATATTTGTATAATATACGTACGACCACATCATTTGTACGTTCGTAACCTTCGTATAATCAGTAGGCAGAATGGCTCTCCCGCATCATTTTTGCATCACTGTCCACTCGATCGGGCCTGCGGCCTTAAATTTTTGTAGTAGCTTGTTTTTGTTCAGCTCGTTGTAGGCTACAACTAGCAAATAATGTGCCGATGCACAAATGGCAAAAATCGCGACTTTCTCTCGCGGCCAACGAGCTTTGCTGACTATATGTATAGAGGTATCGGCATGTGTCGGCTATCGGCTTACTCTAAAAACAGCCACCAGCAGCAGCGTAGCTGTGCTCACGAGCCCACCGTAATACCATCCTTGCAAGCATACACACGTGTACCACCTATCTGCGTGCAGACTTTATATACATTATGCTGTGCTGTGGTTCAGCAAGAGTAAAATTGCGCGCATAGCAGGTAAATTCTCCCCTGCAACACACACGCACACATACGCGCTCATATATTGATCTTCCGGTCGGATGATCTTGAGTGCACTGCAGCTCTCGTACCTATATATATACGCGTCGCTGTTGCGTACAGGTATATAATATAACACAATCGGATAGAGACCATGTACACAGCTCGATGGCTTCCGTGTACGTGCGCCGATACACCTGATAATCCCCGATATTCATTATTACACACTGTACTATACGCGCCGCATGCGTAGACATAGTCACGCGCCTGTATATATTATGCTGCTGCCTTTTTTTCGCTCGTATTATATTTTTTCTCTTTCATTATTATCTATCTGCCACAATGCGAGACGAGCCGCGTTTCGTGCCCGTATTACTGAAAAAACTCGGAGCAGCAACAGCTACTTTTGCCATCTTCCACTCTACTGCGAATTCGTATGTACATTGTTCTGTGTACAGCTTTTTTTATGTTTTTTTTTTACTTCACGCTAGCCGAGTCCGTGCGTGCGTGCTTACGGCATGACGTACACACTAATCCGCGCGCGTGCAAGGAAGAAAGTTGAGCTACATACATAGGAGCGCGACAAATGCGACTACTACTCGTTTTCTTCTGTCAGTGATGACTCGCCAAAAGTCCTCTCTCTCTCTCTATCTCTCGTAGTTTTTTTACCGCTCGCGCATCCCCTCGATTTATACACAAGTATATCGAAACAGCCGCAAGAAGCTGCTAATTGCGCACCGAGAGCTGTTAATCCATCATCGGTCCAACTTCTGGAGCCGTCCGCAAGCGTAATTTAAACCTTCGTACGATTGTTGCCAAACAGTCTCTTGTGTCCAAGGATGTGGCGACCGTCGAAAATAATCTCTTAAACATCGAAGGATGGAGCTATATTATAAACGATCGATGGGCCCGTGCGCCAGATCAACGTTTGACATCTCTCTCATGAGAGGAAGATGGAAACTTCATTTCTGAAAGTGTACGTTGCTCGTGAAATACACATTTTTTGTCCTAAAGATAGAGATAGAGATGAGAAAATATTTAGATCTGATTACTGTATAGCTGTGGAGCCATCGAGTCTATGCTCGCTCTATTAATACGATACGTTTCTTTTCTGTCTTTTTGATGGCTTTAAATTATGCCTGCCTCAACAAATCAGCCTTTTTTCGCTTAGCTCGGTTTTCCCAGGAGCTTGCGCATTTTTCGACAAAAAATTCTTTGCAATGTTGCGTTGCTCGATCGTATGTATTTTTCTTATTAAATGCAAACTGCTTATTTATCGCTTTAGGCACTGTAAAGCGAAATCATAGCCCTAGCGTTCAGCTTTTCTTACCTTTGCACGTAGCAATTGATGAACTTACAATACAACGTACGATTTCTTATTTCCTCTCTGCTCTTTTTTTTGTTTCGGTTTCTTTTAACGCTTTGGTCAGCATTCGATGAAATGAGAATTGTCGCCAAACTTACGGTGTAAAAGTGATATATATTCGTCGCGTTTACGCATAATTCAAAAATTGTGGAATCGTCGATTATTGTGCAAGCCCCGCATTTATAATTATGAATTATCTTTCCTCTCGCATAATCTTTTCTAATGTTTTCCTTTCGTTTCGTTCGCGCTCACTCCTCGTGTGCAATATAAAATTGTAACGTCTCACTTTCATTTATATATCGACGAGGAAAGGATAGATCGAGCTCGGCAGCAGCAGCTGCGGCTAATATCAACTATATATATATTATAAACGGGCGCGTTTCACTCTGGCCGAGCATCAATTTCCGCTCTTTAACTTTAATTGACCGACAATACTTTCCGCGCCGTAATGTGGCTCTGCGTACGCCTGCTTATATCCAGCAAGCGTACTTACAGTCAAGGTAATCGTAAATTTTTGCTCGAGTTAAAAATGCATCCGATCGAAGCTAGCTCGATGCACAACGATAACATTCTCGACGTTCACTCGAAGCTATAGGTTCATTGACTTTGGCTCTCGAGTCGATACGTACAATCTAAGCCGTCGAGACAAAAGTTAAGGAATAATTCAACGTTTAATAGAGCTCGATTATTTCTTTGCGAGCCGACCAGATCAATTTCAGCTCAATTTGCTGTCTTATATATCATGCCGAGCGATCTTTCAATCGTTTCTCCGTTGTTTCTGTTGCAGGGTAATGAAAAAGAAATAATTTAACAATCGAGAGCGACGAAGGGTATGAGGCGTCGACGTAATAAATTCGGCTAAAGTGCCGAATCAACGAGCGCGAGAGAGGAAGAGTAAAGACGAGCGAATTTCAATTCTCGTCTCGTCTCTCTTTAAGTGTGAGCGCGTGAATGTGTTGTGCGTCTGGCCCGACGCGCACACACGTCGAGTGCCGCGTCCAAGTGCGACGACGACGAAAGATAAAAATTCAAAGCCATCGAAATGATGACTGCAATGGCTAGGCTGCCTTACAAACAGCAGCAGCAGCAGCAGCAACAGCATCAGCAACAGACGTCACCGATCATGCAGCAGCATCGTCAGCATCAGCAGCAGCAGCAGCAACACTACCTGCATCAACAGCAGCAGCAACGTTACGGAGGATCGTTGCACAGACAGCAGCAACAGGCCTACAGCAACAATCGAGCTTACTGGGAGATGCAGGAGCAGCAGGCGGCCGTAGTCGCGCCGCCGCCAGCCTATGCCGCCGCTACGCTGCGTAACACTCACAATAATCGCTCGATGCACCATGCCGTAGCTGCCGATCACACGGGTAAGTTTTTTTTTCTGCCCTCTTCTCTTACTTTGTAACGTCGTAACGCTAAAATGAGGAATTAGCTCCGAATGTTTGTACAATAGGCATCGAGCACGTTTTGAGTGTAGGTACACTCGTGCGAGCATAATTGCCAGGCTCCGAGCAAAAATCCCAACGATTGTGCATGCAAAAGTGCAGCTCGAGAAAATGTTCAATCCCGCCGCGCAGAGTCATTATAACGATTGTCTCTCGAAGCGAAAGTCGCCGGCGCGTAGTAGGTGCTTATAAATGCGTTTGAGGCGCGCGTGAAAAGATGTCGTCGATCGCTGGCAAAACTGCACACTTCGCACTCGATTCTCGTGTATATAATACTTGTGCGCGCCAAAGACAGAGAAAGAGAGAGAGAGATCTACGAGTGCAGCTTTTACCAGAGGCAACAGACTTTTTGCATATAGCAAACTCGTGCCGAGTCTTTTCTTATACGTACATTGGCTATGCGCTGCTGAATCGCGCTCGACTTTTTCTTATACATATATCTTGCTTTTGTCACAAACAAAAGGCAACAGCACACACATTTTTGTCGAAAATATTTTATTCCTAGCTGCGCCGAATAAGAAACGAACGAAACGCGAGTCGCGCGCTGCATTCTCATTTTTTATATCGCACACACACAGACATATAAAAGATTATCGTGCAAACCTGCGCGAAGGAAACGGGGTTAAGGTGTCGCTTCTAGAGGAGGTCTTACCTTATAAATTACCAGCTGTGTGTGTGTGTGTGTGTGTGTGTATCGTCGAACAGAAAGTGAAAATGGGACAAGCGCCGCATGCATATTTCAATAGGATCGCTCGGATGATTTTCCATCCTCGCGCACAATTTTTGCGCTCGATCGCAGAGAGCTTCGAGGTCCATTCAAGTTTTCACGCTCTCGATGCAGAGGGAGAGAGAGAGAATAAGTGAGCAGCTAGATAGAGAAGCGGCCCCGGCGCGTTAACGGTATTTTTTCTCACGCAACAAAGTATATATAGAGAGAGAGACAGAGAGAACCTGTATATTGGCGCCTTTGTATATACACCGAAGCACATGTGCATATGCCGTCGCCGTCATCGACGATGAAAAACCGGTAATGCGCGCGCAAACAGAGGTGCATCGTCATCATCGCATCGCGCGTCTCTTGTTGCGCGGGGCACACACACACACGAGTCGTGTTCTGTGTGTGCCGCGAGAATCGGGAATCTGGGTCGCTAAATAGAGGCTAAGAGCAGCAGCAGCTACGCGCCTTCGGGCAAGTCATGCATTTTTTGGACGACCAGAGCAGAGGAATAAGATGGACAAAAAAAAACGAAGACGAAGAAGAAAAGGAGGAGGAGGACGCACGCGTGCGCGAGCACGGCAGACGAGAAGTTGAAAAATAAAAAAGAACACGAGCTCTCTGTACATCGTGCAAGGATTCGCTGTGTATATAATCGATGTATAGCTGCACCTTATTCGATGTATAGTCAAGTTCAAATTATCGCGGCTTCGTATCGGCAAAATCATCATTAAATGCCCCGACCCGCTGCTGCTGCTGCTGCTGCTCGGACCTTTGATTTTGCTCGTTTTATCTGCGCGTATATAATTTTTCTTCTTTTTTTTTATCTCTTGCTCATAAATGGGTCACGGCCCACTTGCAACTCCACTCTGATATTTCCTTACGATATGGATTCTCAGGGCTATTTGCACGCGAAAATTGCTCGAGTCTCTCGCCGCACAGCTCGTGCAGTAAAAAAAAAAATACAAAACCACTCGCGGGATCGGGTTCATTTGAATTTTATTCAGCAGTACGGGCAATATCAATTTGATCCCTCTATTGATCGCGCGGCGGCATGCCCAATTCGTACTATCGAGATCTCGTGAAAATCGTTTGATTATTAGTCTCTCGCAGCTACTTTTAACTATTTTTATTTTTTCATTTTTTTGGGGTATTCGCGTGGATCGTATACGTGTAAAACTGCTCGTGCAGCGCAGCTGTCGACTGATTTATTAGCAGCGCCGTGCCTTGCTTGTTGCTCGCCTCGCATTATATTATAGCTCCGCGTGGGGTGTGCAACGCGGCGATCGTTTTAATTTCGTATTTATATTATAAAATACGAGCAGTTTAACTTTGTTGTATATACGTAAACTAGGCGCGCAAGCGTAGATTCTCTATATAGGCATAGAGGCAGGCAGCACAGCTGCTTTTCATTAAATATCTAACGGTCCTCGTGACGAGCAGCTCTCCTGCTCGTCCAGGCATGGGGCGGCTATACTAGCCTGCGTTGTAATGCAAGCGTGTCGCGCTCCGAATGGTAACTATATGGCAATTTATTTATTTTTTATTTTATTATTTATGGTATATACTAGAATAGCGATCCAAAGTGCCATTCGAATAGTCTTCCTGAAAAATTTTTACTCAAGAATATCCGATTTGAAAAATTTCAAGAAAATCTGTCTCATGAAAATATCAAGAATAATATAATTTAACTCGACAGCAAGTATCCGGACTCGATGCTGGACAATGCATCGAGTTTTTCCGTTAAAGAATCACACAGTCGTGACGAAAAAGAAGAAGAAAAAAAAATTATAACGCACTTTTTTTTACGTACCGCTGCTACGTGCAGCGCAACGAGTATAATTACACGATATATGTATACGCCCGCGAATGGACACACAACAGTTGCATAATTATATATTTACGTGCACGCCGCGCCGATAAAATCATTGCTGCGTTTATTTACATGAAATTGTCCCTCGTTTCGTAGTGTAATACGGAAATCACTCCGTTGCTTTGTTGTTTCTTGGTTCTTTTTTCAAATCAGTATATTTGCTCCGTCATTTTGAAAGCGAGAGGCCAGCAGTTTGAAATTATGGATGTAACAAAACATCGTAACAAAGATCGTATCTGTGTGTCTGATTGATTGTCCGGGGGAGTCTGCGTGCAAAAACAATTAAATTGTACTCCGTTTTTTTTGCTCTCGCGGTCACAACTTTTAATACTTTTTGTCGAGCTGCTTCGACATATAACAACTTCATTTTTTTGTCTATAAAAATAATGGTACACGTGCTCGGGAGAGAGAACACGAAGCTCCAGATTTATGTTTTATATATACGAACGGAAACGATGACGAGATGTGTATTATACATTTTAAAAACTTGAAGGCATTCTCTCAAAGTGCTTCTACGTTATTTCAACGAAAAAAAATTAGCCAAAGCGAGGGTGGGGGTGTTCACGGTCGCCAAAGTGGCACATATTTTTTGTCCAACTATATTCGCGATGTAGTAATTCGCTAGTTTTTGCGGCTCCAGAACGAGTTGGTCGGTCGCTTCAAAATTCACTTTCTCGTCGTATATCCAAGCTAATACATTATGTTAGGTCTGTGCCGAGTCGTATCCGTGTTTACATACATTCGTGCCGCAGCAGCAGCAGCAGCTTTGAGTCAGCAGGCGTCGATCATACGCGCTTTACTCGAGGTTGGCTCGTTTTAAAAAGGCGTTTGTTGTTGCGGTGCCTCGCGGAGAAGAGGAGGAAGAATATACGCACGGCCACATCTGACTCGGCACACTCATTGTCTTGTGCTCCATTCGCCTGTGTGTGTATGTATACACTCCATGGTGTTGGGTACTCGAGGAGACTCGGAGCCATGTGGTAGCCGTGAGCTCGCACACACTTACGGCGGGATTGGTTCATGCCTGCGGGGCCGTCGTCGTCGGGCCTACTGCTCGGGGAGCCCTCAGGCCTCTTTTGCTCTTCTTCTCTTCTTTATATATACCTATGCAACGCGAGGCTTTATAGCTGACGCGCACTCGACGAGCGCACTCGAAAGTGCTCTTGCCGCGCGCGCTATAGGCACCGACCGGCTACGATTGCTTCGAATTCAAGTTCGAGCGGATGCAGATTTTATTCTCTAGTGGAGATGTCTCCCTCCCTCTCGAGTCCTGCCAGCTGGTCGATTATCGCCCGTTAAATTGTTCCTGCAGCTTATTGCTCGCTCAAGCACTTTTTACCTGTCGATAATATGCTCGAGGAGTCGCTCGAGATTTCCGATGAACCACCCTGAGTTTCGAGCCAGGCTCGGGTCGGGGTTTCCGTGTTTACGTATGCGTGGCAATTTGGAAAAAGCTCGCTGAAAGCAATCGCCGAAAGGAACAAAAATCCGAGAATCGTATTTTTAATTTCAATCGTCGCCCACATGCTTGCGGCGATTCTCCCCCCTAATATATATTTTGCCGATTCGAGAATAACAGATGTGCTGCTCGCGCGACATTATCACCTCTGTGAGGCCGACGCGGGCATATAAACTTAGATTTTTAATGGGCAAAGTATGCCGAAAAGTGTCTCTGGAATATGCAGCCGGTCGAGTCGAGAGACTAAAAGAGAAAAGAAGTGAATAAATGTGACACACGTGAATTATGTGAATTTGAAAAAAAAGGGTCATGTGTGTTCCAAATCGGTACGGGCAATTCAAACGAACTCGACTCGCGCAATTCTCACGTTTTGTCGGGGTCGGCGAATTTGGTCAAATTTTACGAGCAAAAAAAAAGAAGAAAAAGAAGCAACGCGATTATTGTCGGGCCACTTGAAAATGTCCTTCGGGCCGCACAGTCCGTGCGTATTACACCGGTTCGTATATACTTGTAACCGTTAATTCGGAAGGCAAAAGATAAAACATAATCAAAAGACTCCTGAAAGCATCAGCAAAAGTTTGACACAAAGCGCGATAATAAAAGTACCGTATACGCTCGGCGGGCCGTATTATAATGATAATTCGAGCCGAGCCAGCAGCTCGCTTCGATTCCACGAGAGACTGCTGCTGTACATATATATAGGATCGTGTGTAGAGATATCGAGGGCGAAGGTCGTCGTCGTCGTCGTCGAGTGAATTTTTACCTCCTCTCACGAAGCGATGATCGCTAGATCAACGATCGTCACAGATATTATATAGCTCGACGCATGAGAATTGGCTGCGCACCTATTGTTGCGTAGCGCACAAATTGCTCTCCCATACAGCACACATATTATATTTATAGATCGAATAGCAGTCCATTATTATAGCACGGAGCTGCGCGTCTCAGGATAATGCGCGCGTATAGCAGTCCACTAATTAGAACGGATGATTGTGCGTCGGGGAGGACCATTGTTCGAACGCGATGATAAATTATTATAAAATCGTGCGTAATACGTACTTGTGCGTGCTTACTTTCGAAAAGTATCCACAGCCGGAGGTTTTTGACCTCCTTACATATATTTGAACGCGTGTCTAATTGTCCGTCTGTCTCTTTCTCTGTTTAGGAAAGCGAAAGAGCGCCGTGGAGCTGCTGCAAGAGTCCAAGGCGTTCTACGTCAAGAGCGAGACGGTGCTGGACCGCAAGCAGGAGCTCAAGAACAGCGGCCACCTGCAGGTGTCGCAAGTCACGGCCGCGCCGGCCCCGCCGAGGCTGCTGCGCAAGTCCTGCCCCCTGAGTCCGCTCCAGCAGCAGCATCAACATCAACAACAGCAGCAGCAGTGCTGCTGGGCAACGACCTGCCTGCAGCAACACGACCAGCAACAGGCGTCCTGCGACAGACGTGAGTGATACTTGACTATTATTTTGAGCTCGCAAGCTCGAAAGCTGCATTACAAAAGTGTCATCGTGTACAGTGGATGGCGGCGATCCCAACGTGGCCGGGATGCCGACGACGACGACGACGAGTCCGCAGCAGCAGTGCACGAGTCAAGCGCAACGGGTGCTGCCCCTGGCACCGGCTCTGCCGCCCAAGAGTCCCCGGCTGGTACCGACGGTCTACAACGGCAGTCTCCAACGACGCTCCCTCGGTCCCATCAACTGTTCCGCCTCCAGCAACGTTGGTAGTAGCAGCGGCGCAACTGGCGGTCCCTGCTCGGATCAGCTGCAGACGAAGCTGAGGCGGCTGCTCAACGGCGACAGCAAGGAGAACGTCTTCTTTCCGGAGATGCAGCAGACCCCCACCCCGCCACCGCCGCCCGAGTACTCGGCGGGCATGATGACGATGATGAGTGGCAACGACAACGGCAACGTAGTAGCAGTGGATGACTACCCCGAGGACGGCAGCAAGTTCCGCTACTCGCCGGGGGAGAGTCTGTCGCCGTCCCTCGGCGTCTCCTGCAGGGACGACGAGCGAGCGGTCGGTATACCTATACTCGCTTCATTATAGAAAATACATCGCAGCTAGCTCCTTTCTTTTACGAAATGCAACGATGCGCGAATCATGCAGCCCGACGGCGGGAAAAGGTTTTGCGTATCGCGATCGACCCGCGTAACTCGACACGTAAAACGCGATATACGCGCGGTATCGAGTATCGGCGCGCAAAATCAATCGGGTTCGGCGCGCAATCAGCCGTAGGCGTGGCAGCTCGCACAAGACTCTCTGCAGTCGAGTGCGTACATATGTGTATACCTATGTTCTGCTGCGGCCGACCTTCCTCGTCATTATATCGTGAGAAACACTGCACACGGCTGCAGTTGTTGCGCGCGTATAATATATTTGTATACCAGAGAGACAGTCTTCTTTGTGCGCTCTGTCAATGGTGCACAAATTGATATTTTTATCTTCTTTTTCTCACTCTCTCTCTCTCTCTCGTGCGAGTAAATGCTGCCTTCGCATCTTTCGCGCATCTTTCTCGAGCTGCCGTATATACCATTGGAACGAACTTCCGGCCAGCGCCGCCGCCGCTGTTATATAGCTGCACACAATGTACGATGCATGCTATATACGCGTAACACGCGCAGCAGCATCAGCAGCGTTTCTTCGTGCTCGCGCGATCGACGCGGGGCAAGGACGTTTCGCATCGAATGCCAATAATATACCTATGTACGCGTCTGTAGCGAGCCTGACATTGAACCTTGTAACGCTCCGCAGCGTATACGGACACACTCGTGTGTGTGTACGATCCTATGCAGGAGCTTTTCCTCCTCCCTGCCTCCTTCTTTGCGGCACTTTGCGCTACGCGAGCTCCTTTTTCGTTCGAGTTCCCTTATTACACGAATTAATTTACGCAGCGAAATTGGGAGCAAAAAGCTGATCTTTGTGTGTCCTTTGTCACGATAGTGGGCAGCAGCGGGGGGCGAGGTGCGCTTCAAATTCGGCCGAAGCAACTCGCACTCGTACGGCCGAACGTCGTCCAGTCGGAATCGAGCCAACCGAAGCAGTCAGCAGTCCCAAGCCAGCCCCGGAGGTGGAGGAGGTGGCACTTGGGTCGGCCAGGAGCAAGGCTGCTACAGCGCCGGAGGCAGCAATCACGACCTGGAGCTCGACGCAGGCTGCCACGAGCCGGTGGTCGTATCGTCGTCCTCGTGCCACAAGTCCCTGCCCGATCTGCACAACTCGAGCACGAGTCGCCGAAGGGCCTCTCTGTCGCCTCGAGCCTCGACGCGCAGCTCCTCGAGGAAGACGACCCACGCGGCCACCAGCAGCCACAGCAACAGCCACAACAACAGCCCCTGTCCCGACTGCGAGACCGGCTCCGACTACTCGGACGATCGCAACAGCTTCAACAGGGGCTCGCTCTACTACCGGAGCGGCTCGAGCTCGCGCCACAACGCCCGACGCTCGGCCGGCGACGCCAGCAGCATTTTGTCCTCGGGGGCGCGCACCCACAAGTCCTCGGGCTCGAGCAAGTTCAGCCACGGCGCGACGGCCACCAGAGACTCCGGGGGCTCGTCGGGCCACTGCACCCACCGCAGCGAGCCGCCCAGTCGCGACTGCTGGAGCAGCAGCCACGCGAGGAGGGACAGCGGAGCCTCGACCCAGCACTCGACCGAGCGCGACCGATCCAGGAGGAGCCCCGCCAGCTACGGTACCGGAGGCAGTCCCTCGATACATCGCAAGCTCCAGCAGCAGCAGCAGCCACAGCCGCAGTCGTACACGCCCGAGAGCGACAGCGCCGGTAGCATCAGTCAGGACGAGTACAGTCCCACGGGCAATTCCAGGTAACTTTTTGCTTTCCGCGTCAATTTCATTCCGAATTCATTCGATTATTTCAACGTGGCTCTAATTCCAACAGATTTTCCGATGGATGGAAAGAGGGACGCAACCGGCCGATACTCCGCTCCAAGTCCGACATCTCCGACAGGTACTGGCGACACGATAGCCCTGGCGGTGGCGGCAAGGTACCCCAGCAGCAGCAGCAGCGCTCGCTCACGCAGCTCGAGTCGTTTTTCGATCGGCTGGGCCTCGAGCCCGAGTCCTACAGGCGCATGACCGAACCGTCGTCGCGCGGCAGCTCGCCCGTCTTCTTCGACAGCGTGAGCTCGGTCGACTCGGCGCTTGGCCCCTACTCGGCTTGGCCCTCGCAGGCCCAGTGGGCCAGTGGTGGCAACAATTGTGCCGGCTCCAACGACGATCCCGTGACGCTGCAGCAGCAGCAGCAGCGGAGCTCCGCCGATCAGCCGAGCATCGTTGAGAGGAACGCCCGGATAATCAAGTGGCTCTGCCAGTGCAGAAAGGTGCAGTATGGTTACAGCTGAGCGCTGCGTCATTCTACTGCCCTCGACTACGACCAATAACGCTAGCCACTTGCTCTACCTCTTCTCTTCCGCTATAATTAATACGTGTTGTATTTTTCATTGGGACAACCAAAAAGTATCCAACAGCCTTATATATACCCACTGTGTGTAGTGATCGACGGCTAGCTTAGATGAGGTAACATTTTGACAAAGTAGTTGTACGGCTAGGCTTGTGAGGATCATCGATCAAGTGCGAATTTCTTCATATTGGATGTTTACAAAGTCTACGCTGTTTATTTTACGAAATTTTACTTTGCGCAACCGAGAATTCAGAGCCTCCCAAATACCTTTATAGTCCATATGAAAGTAGATTGACGATTAAACATTTATAATAAATCCCCCCAACCTTCCCTCTTCCCCCCAGAATGCTGTGAAAATCTGAGAGAATATTATATTATATTGGAGCGTTATCGATGCAATTAGAATTATCATGTGCTACGTGAACTTTCGTGGAATCGTATGTGAGATTAGTGTCTTGAAATTTTCGGCCTTTGTAGTTTCATAATTTATTGATTCATACATAAGTAGTATTAATGAAAAACACGAATGCTGGTAAAAAAGTATATAATTGCGCTCGCAAATAATGTCACGCGAATAGTCAAAAAAATAACTGTGTGCAACCTCTCGACTCGTTGTCGTCCCAGTGTAAATCATTGTAAATCTCTATGTAATGAACTCGTGGTCTATTCGCAAAATAGTCGGTTCTTTGAATGTTTTAACGATAAAAAAAATACACGTCTTTTTTCATCCAGAATTCCTGGCAATAAACACGACGATGCATGCGAAATTGAATGCTAATTTATTTCTAAAACTTTGATAATAATAGAATATTGGATGCTTGGAAAAAGTTATCGAGTGAGCTATTGGAACTTGTTTAGTGCCATTTAGAAAGTGTCAAGTGTATAGATTTATTTTTATCGTCAGAGTCACGTTATTATGAATTACACCAAAATACGGTCATAATCGTCATTTTCGTATTTTTACGATATGTAACTATAGTTTGTACATAATTTTATCTTATTGAATTGTTACGTTTTTTTAAAAATTTTAGTCACCTGGTCACTAATCAATTAAATGCAAATTTTTTGTATATGAATGATTTTTAATTTCTTATTATATTATTCGAATAAATTTATATAATGTTATGGTAAAAGAAAATCTTATGAGAAACAGTGGTCTATTATTCCAAAATATTGTGTAAATATTTTCAATATATTTTATCATTGTTGTTGAAAGTTGCTGAAATACAATGTAACTTTCAACGATACTTTCTAATGAACCAAGTTTTCTTCATTTTACATCTACATTCTTAAAATTTATTTTAAATCGTATCCTTCTATTTTGACACAAAGTTTTAATTATAAAAAACTTTAATTAATCGTAAACTTGATGAAGACAATGCAACGGTTTCGAGAGAGAAATATTCATTGATTATCAGGAATTGACCGGATCAATGTAACTCGTGATCATTGAAGCAGAAACTAATCAAAAATTTACGTGATATCCTCTAAGTCATGATGGACAACGAACATATAGATTTTAAGCAATGAAAAGTGTAGATCAAGGAGAACAATTTTTTATTGCTACTTGATTCATGTTTAATCAAATTTTTGGTCAGTAAAAATTCACTTAAAATGTAAAACTTTCTACATACTGAATAAATTTAAAATTTATCGGTTTATTTTTTTGCTATAGTCCTAAAAATTCAATTGCATTTTCATACCTAGTAAAATTTATAATTTCTATGAAATAATAATCATACTTTGATGTTAAGAAACAAAAATAAACTGCTTGGTGCTGTGCATAAGAAGAGGTGTTTCGCTGCATAAGTGTGTACAGTTAAATCATAGAATGAACATCCTTTTTGATAATAAAATTAGCATTAATTTTAGATATAAAACAACTAATTTAGCCCTGTAAAGAAGATCCTGTTGATAAATTAAATGTGCAAATATTTTTTAAAATCCAATACGCGAAAGGAAATTTAATTATTTTTACATATCCATACATAGTTTTAATATGAACAATTTTTTCTTTCGTTTTTTAAAAGAAAAAACTCTTATACTGCATTCCAGGCAAATACAGTGATGTAGTTGGAATTTTATGATTTCTACATTTTACTGGCGATTATTTTAGTGTAAACAATTTTTTAACCGTTGCGAATTTCAATTAATTTAGACGTTTCAATAAGAGTATTTCAAATGTTTGACTGAATACTAAAAATCGGACATGAGCACAAATTATAGAAATCATGTGTACGCGCTTACTAATGGAAGCTGTTGAAAATTAGTCGACGATAGTTGCATGTTAAAAACTGACCAATACGCTCGATGAAGAGAAAATTGGGGGTATTTTTGACTACAATCATGAGCCTAATAACAATTTTTCATTGATTCGGAAGAAACGTGAAAATTTACAAATCACTAAAGAAACACTTTGGAAGCCGAAAATTACGAAATTTGTTAATTAGCTAAAAAAGGTAAATCTAGATCAATATCAATTTAACGGCATAATATCGTGAACAATTACTGTCTCAATAATATTTTTAGTATAATAATAACAATAATAATACGAATAATAATAATAATAATAACACTAAAAACAATATTTAATGTACAAAACGATTTTCAGGACGTGTTTGTATACAACAAAAGTATGGAATAGTTGTAACGATCGAATACAGACTCTTTTTGAAAAACAATCAGTAAACAGTTACGTACAAATAATTTACATGAAAAAACTATACTTTGTATGAATAATTGATTTGAGTACTTCACTGATGTTAATTAATACTGTAAACTCGGAAGGCTTAGACAGTAGACATTTTTATGATGTAAATTTGAAAATGAATGAGTATGTTGCTGAATGCGAGTACGTAATATTGAAGCACAACATATTTTCTTCAACATTAAGTTTAAACAAATTACACGTTACTGTATCTGAAAATTCATACGATATTAGTTAATAATTAATTTCTAATGGTCTCTATGTTAGTAAAAAAAAGTTATCGACTTTCCGCGAAAATGCCTTCTTTTTTTAATTTTAATCGCGAAGATGAATTAAATCGAAACGCGTTGTTTTCATTACAGAATAACGATGAAAGAGTTTAATGTTAAGTTGATGGTATTTATTATTTAGGACCCGATAAAACAAATCGCAAAACTGACTATGAAATTGTAATACGAAAAGCAAAACACACTCTATCTACGCGAATCTTTTTTGCATGATTTGTACTTTGAGAATTGACGTATTTCATTGTTTTTGTTACTTTTAACGATTCTCACTATAATATATGTCGTAAATTTATGGTACAATTAAAAAAAAATCTTGTTATTGTTTTTTTTATCTAGTCATAAAAAAGAAAAAAAATAAACTTATGTTGAACATAACTCAAATAAAGTAATTATAATGTTTTTCATCTGTATGTTTAAGTATTATAAAATCATGTGTAATGATATAATCATTTTTAATAAGTCCTTAAGCACAAGTGCAATAAATACAAGTTATTTGAAATGTATAATAGTCTTTTTTATTGGAATGCCCGCAACTTTTTAACGCGATTGGAAAGTAACACGAGAGAAGAGTTATCTTTCTGTCAATATTATTGCTTTAAAAATCATCGATCGCTAGAAGCGATCTCGAGTTTAAATGTTGAAAGGCGCAATTTGAAAAGGAGACACGAAGGCGTTATAAGAATCGCGCGCAGCTTTGCGACGTTTCGAGCGCCCAATGAAGTCGAGCTTTAAGCTCTTTGTCGAGAATAGCGAGTGGCAAAAAGCAACAGCAGCAGCCAATGGCCGTAGCTTTTCGGCGAGACTGAACCAACCACGGACGACGGTTCCAACGACTCGCGATCAGCCACAATTTCTATCGTCGTCGCGTTTACGAGCAAAAGTCGGATTATGGTTACAGGCGTGCTTTGACGTATATACCGTACAGTAGTCAGTTGGCGTGCGTTCTGCTACAAAAGCAGCCGAGTGTTGTGCTCTCTCGCAGTGCCGTGCGTGTCAGTCCGTGTCTCTCCGTTCGTTCGATAAACAGTACGGGCTGCTACTGGCTCGACGCTCTTCGAAACTCGCTCCAAAACACACGCGCGCTCAAGATGCCAAACATAATCAACGACGTTAAACTCGATTTCAAAGATGTTTTGCTCAGGCCCAAACGGAGCACCCTCAAAAGTCGTTCCGATGTGAGTATACGCTCGAAATATCCCTAATTATTTACCATGCGCAAATTGATACCTTCAGCGAGGCAATTATCGAGTTAGATAATGAAATGATTCTCTCGTTCGCACACACGCGTTTCCGCATTGAATCGACAAAAATTGGACAAAGTTCGATTTTCCACGAGGTTCCGAGAGATCTTTATAAATAGAGCAGCTGCAGTAGCAGCTCGCGTCAAGCATACACGACTTCCGCGTGTGTGTGTGTGTGTGTTTTGAAAGCCACGAGAGCTTGCGAAGGCCCGGAAGTCGCGAGGATCGTCAAAGACGAGAGGCAATTAAAAAAGAAAACGTTTTATTGCAGGTCGATCTCTGCCGAGAGATAACTTTTCGCAATTCCAAGCGCACCTATCGAGGCGTCCCGGTGATGGCTTCGAACATGGACACGGTCGGGACCTTCGAAATGGCCAAAGCCCTGTCAAAGGTAACAAAACAAAACAAAATAAAAAAATCAATCGTCTCGCTGCAACAAAAGCCACACATTGTCCTTGACTCTCGTCACTGCGCGAATTCTAATGATTGCAGCACGGCCTGTTCGTGACGATGCACAAGTATTACACGTGCGACGAGTGGAAAGAATTTGCCATTCAGAATCCCGAGTGTCTGAAAAATATGGCCGCTAGTTCAGGGACGGGCAACGAAGACTTCGAGCGGCTGTCGAGCGTCTTGGCAGCCGTGCCCGAGCTCACGTTCATCTGCATCGACGTTGCCAATGGATATTCCCAGCACTTTGTCGAGTACGTGAGAAAAGTCCGATCCAAGTACCCGGACCACACCATTATCGTGAGTTCTTCTAAAAAAAGCTCCCGTACGTCAATCGCCACGCGTAAATGACATTTTTCGGGCAAATATATTTCAGGCCGGAAACGTCGTTACCGGAGAAATGGTCGAGGAGCTAATACTGTCCGGCGCTGACATAATCAAGGTGGGAATCGGCCCTGGCTCAGTTTGCACGACGCGCATGAAGACTGGCGTCGGCTATCCCCAGCTCAGCGCGGTCATCGAGTGCGCGGACGCCGCGCACGGCCTAAAAGGTCACATCATTTCCGTGAGTATTATATATAAAATCAAATATCTCTTCTCGCGCGATCGACGCCAACGTACGATAATTTTCTCGTCGATTTGTCGTGTCTAAGGACGGCGGCTGCACGTGTCCCGGAGACATTGCCAAAGCTTTCGGCGCTGGCGCCGATTTCGTCATGGCCGGCGGCATGTTCGCTGGCCACGACGAGTGCTCGGGCGAAGTCATCGTGAAGAACGACCAAAAGTTCAAGCTCTTCTACGGCATGGCCTCGCGCACGGCCATGCAGAAGCACGCCGGCGGAGTCGCCGATTACAGGTACGTCTCATCTATCTCTCTCTTTCTGTAATACAATTATGAAAAGATACGACTTGTGACGTTCGATAGACAAATTGAACATTTATATTTTTTTACCTACATCGACGATTATCTTATCTCTCTTGATGCGGCAAACTATTGCCAATTGTAAAATTATAGCTCGGCATTGACGACGTATCCGAGTCGATGGGTAGAAACATTTTTTTACGAGTTTTCGATAGTTATTTAATCGATTGCTATTGTAAAAATTAATCGTACTCGATCTCACCGATTAATAGCATCAAATTTGATCGACTTTTCCTCGATCGATTCATAATTAACGTCAAAATAATTTCCACAAGGTCGTCCGAGGGAAAAACCGTGGAGGTACCGTACCGAGGGCCGGTGGAGGCGACGCTGCTCGACATCATGGGTGGACTGCGCTCGGCCTGCACCTACGTCGGGGCCTCGCGCCTCCAGGAGCTCCCGAAACGCGCGACCTTCATCCGATGCACCCAACAGCTCAACAACATTTACGGACCGCCCATGTAGACGATTGTATCGCGAGCGGATTTTTTCTTGTAATATATCGCGTCCAATACGTCGAATGCGGATTATGGCCATTTTACACTTAACAAAAATTTATCATTATTACTATTATTATTATCATTATAAATCTAATTGTAAAATGCGAATTATGAAAAAATAACGAGTAATAGCCAAGTACAGGGAAGAAACGATTTGTAAATAAGAGTGCCGTACCGCACACGAATCCAAGTGCACAAAACACTTTGAACGTATATTAAATATATATACAGTCGTGTGCGTCGCTCAATGTATTTGTTTGCCGAGTGATTGATCAAACGTTTTCAAGAATATACATATAGGTATATATGTTTTCGAGTAGTTGTACGAGCGCACGATTACACGAGTCACAAGTATAAAGACGTCGGTCTTGATTGAAAACTTTTGTTATTGATGCTCGCGCGCGAGATCGTTTGTGTAATCGTCGACTGTGTACATACAAAGTAAAATGATCATGTATTTTTGAAAATTTTTCAAAGGCACACGATACTTCGATGTAGGTGGGCATATAAGCATAGAGCTGCTTTATTGCATTTACAACGCTCGTTAACAGTTTTTTTGTCGGATACTGCAGCGGAAGTACAAAGGAAAAAATACAGTGAAACTGATTTTTGATTCGTCGAGTTTTGCGAGAGGCGTGTTGAAGCGTGGATGTGTTGTATGCTCCGGAATTGCTGACGATTTGTAAAATCTGTCAACTGCTAATGGGTATTCCACGTACAAGTCGACATCTTTTGCACTGGTTTTCTCGAACTTTGCGATCGAGCAAAACTTGTAAATCATTGGTATAAGTAGAGGAGTTTGGAAAAATTTGTGCAAAAGTTGACGATTTTTTCGACGGATAACGTTGAAATTAAATATAAGTATATTTTATAATAGTATTGCAAATATGAGATGAAAAAGTGAAAGCGCCACATTTTCTTTAGTATATTCTGTAGAAGAAAAAGTATTAAAATTTTTTCGTGTTTATTATACAGATAATAATGGAATTGATTTTACAGGAGTAATTCACTGTAAGCTCCTGCACTTGACATGATTTTTTAACTGTTTATTTATTATTTATTCCGCATGAAGCTCAAAGTATACATAATAACACAACTAAGTCATAAATTACGATTTTTAATAATTTATCATTGTTAAAATAAATATGGACTCAAATTATATGATTTATAATATAAAAGGAGCTTTCAAGATGATCGTACATTTGCACAACATGGAATATTGGATATTTATTTTCCGACGGGCACATTGCCTCGATTAGTTACAATTCATAGTAACGATATGATGCATCCAAGCAAGTTGCTAGAAAGGTGTCGCAAACGCCTTTTTATACTGAATTTAAATATCATGTTGCATTTTAATATCTATCTAAAGAGTTCCTAACAGTCCATTCGAATGTATTGAGCATCTTGAACAAATTCTACTTAGTCATAATTTTCTTGATGAATATTTCGAAAGTATGATAAACTAGCACTTGCCCAATTTTTAATTGTAAATTTTATTATCAGTATTTGTGTATGAATTGTTTTTTACAGCCCAACATAATCAGTGCATACCATATTATGTAATAGAACAATATTGATGAAAAAAATACCAGCGCTAATGTAAATTAGCTAGTACTTGTACTTTAAATGATGTTCATAAAATGTCAATAAATTTAATATTTTATGGATGTATGTTTACAAAAAATAATTAAAATAAATTATTGGGTGCTCTTACAATGTGATTTTTAATTATTCATATGAATTACATAAATTTTTTTCTATTTATAAAAAATCAAATTATTTTTCTCATATCATTCAGTCAGCTTTTCATGTGCATCATTAGGAAGTCATTTTGATCATCTAACTTTTTGGTCTTCTCTTCTTCGTTTCATGTATAACTAAGTCTCTGTTCACAGCACCCAAGTGCATAATATAAGCTTGCTGTTATTCAAACATCCATTTTCACTATGTTATCTGTATTTTCAACAATCGATCATCTTGCTGAAAACGTACGTGTAACAAAACGTTATAGTTCGTAAAATGCTTAGTCTACAATTTATACTTAAGATATTAAAAAATCGTTCACGTCTGTGTACTAACAAAGACTAAATCATTTCAATTTCATCCACTGATTACAAAAATTGCTCAATTCTCAACTGATTTTCAATGATCAATAAATTTACAGATGCAGCTAAAATGGCATGACCTGATGCATACTATCAATAAATTCTTAGCGCTGAAGCCAAAAATTTAATCAATTAGCGGTCATAAAAAAATCAAACACAACATCTAAGGTAAGACTGCATTGGTAACACAGTATTAAAAGTTTACAGTCATGATACACTATGATAAAAATGTAGTATAATTCAGTATAAGTTATTTCATTCAAATGCTTCACATTTATCAAATACAGAAACTTAGTATTATTGTACAATCAAACTGCTGTAAATGAGATGTAATATAAGTCATTTTTAAACTTATAGATATATAATGAGATGATATTCTAAAAATCAGTAATGTATATATACACGCTTACATACACATAAATATGTATAAATATATTGATATATATGTAAATGTATAATCAAGTGATTCTTCTTGGATTAATACATCCTTTTGGAAATCTATTGTTATCTGTATGGGAATAAAGAAATGATTATTGTAAAAATTCATTGATTATATATAAAAATTATCACAGTATTTCAAAGGTGTAATGTATATGTTTATGCAAATATGAATATTATATAATATTTAAGTATATTATAAAAATTCTATATATTTATATAATTTTGAATATTTATATCATATCTATAGAAATTGTTTTATAATAATTATGTTAGTACGATATACCGAAATGTATTGTATTGATGAATTAAATTTAAAATCCTAAAATAAGTTGTATATATATACACAAAATATATGATACCCATTGCATTAAATACTACTTGATTTCGTAACTTTTACACCATTGATTTTTTTAGCTCAGATACGAATACATTAAGAGAGTTAATTGATGGTAACACCCAACTGATGGGTTTCATTTACCTCAAATAATCTCTCAATTCGATCGAACTTTCAGAGAACGTGTGAACCAAATGAATTGCGAATTTAGAATAAAAAAATTTTTATTTACAATCTTTTAAATGCACAATAGAATTCACCGATTCTCTTAAAGCATATATTTATTACAAATATAAAGTACAATTGAACTCACTTTAATAGTTTCCGTTTAAGCAGAGTTAGTTCTCTGTACTTGTCTGAGGATACTGATAGTTCTGGTAGTTCATTGCAGGGAATGCCGGAGTTTGTCCTGGCGTCGCTGCACTTTGGGCACCAGGAGTGTAATAACCTGGATTGGCAGGATTCATTCCTGGATAGACGTATGGTTGCGGAAACGCTGGAGTAGTAGTAGTGGGCATCGCATTAGCCATAGTAGCAGGTTGTGCTTGAGCCTGTGGCTGACTAGCTCCAGACTGGGTTGTCACAAAATTTTAAATTAGAAAAACGATCGAGGGAAATTTTTATTTAAAGAAATGTTAACAACATTATTACTTACTTTACCACCTTTCATTTGGGCTTCAATAGCCTCTGCTTCGGCAGTTTTACCAATACTTCGGTAATATTCAGCCCATTGTGCACTGTAATCAGTTTGTCCTCCGTTTTGTTGAGCGTTAGCTTGTTGCTGTTGCTGTTGTTGTTGCTGCTGTTGTTGTTGCTGCTGCTGCTGTTGCTGTTGTTGTTGGGGTTGTTGCTGTTGTACAGCTGGCTTTTGCTCTAAAATGAAAAAAATGTTGAGATTGTATGATATTCCAACAATATTTTTTCATTCTATTTTATTGAAATAGAAATTTTACCTTGCATTTCTTTGACTGCAGCTACTGCAGCTTGTTGTTGCTTAGCTTTTTGTTCGATCATTTCGGCTTCACTGTGTTTTCCAAGGGACCGGTAATACTCAGCCCACTGAGCACTGTAATCTGGTTGACCAGTGGCTGGGTCTATTTGTACACCACCTGATGTTGCAGCAGCAGCTGCATTTGGATCGGTGGCTTGAGTACCAGGCCATGCGGTATATCCAGGTGCTGCATTCCATCCTGGATAATATCCCATTGGGTTTTGGGCACCATAAACATTCGTACCAGCTGGCATAGGTGTGCCTAGTTTTTCACTGAACACCCTCTTAGCGTGCTCTACTTGCTCCGGAGTACCTCTAATAATGAAAGATTTTTCGGATTCTGTTCCTGGATTTCGTCTATCTATTTCACAATGAGCTCCAGTCTGAGCATTTATATGTTTGATTGTTTCTCCTCCTAGAATATATCATTTTAATGAATAATTTTAAATACTGATTCAAGTATTTCTTATACATACTTTTGCCAATGATTATACCGCACTTCGCAAGCGGAACTGTATAGCTAAATTCAATTTTGCCTGTCATGTCTTGGCGATTCCAATAATTATTTTGGAATCCATTGCCACGTCTCTGCTATAAAAAATTTTGACTTTAGATTAATCGGAAAATAATGAAATTTCTGACATTAAAAAAAAAACTTACTACACAACTATCAATCATTTCTACAATACGTCGTTTTGCTTCTGCAACGCTGTCTGGTGGACCTGTAATAACACAGGTTCTATCACCTGGGCCATCTTCATTTGGAGGAACCACAATGTGAAGTTTAGCACCGGTTTCTCGTCGCATCTGTTTAATAGCTTCTCCGCCTTTTCCAATTACTAAACCAACTGCTTCTTTGGGGACAATAAGTTCCTGGAAATTTTAAAAGAAAAATATTATAGCTGTGTTCAACAATATAAAATGCATTATTCATTGATATTTTTAAAGAAAATCAATTACCTCATTTCCTCCACCTTCAGCTGGGATGAAAGGTCTCTCACCACCTTTACTGAACATTTGAATTTCTTTTTCAGCAATCAGTTCATAAACCAGTTGCTTAGCGTGTTCTACTTGTTGGGGATCCCCAGTTATTCTGTAAAATATTAAATATTAAATTATAAAAATAATTCAATTAAAAAATGTCTAATTATTTGATTATTCAATAATATTTTTTACCTTAATGGTTTTTCATTCTCTTGACCTGGATTATCTTGAATGATAACCATTTTAGCGCCAGATTTTTCTTGCAGTTGCTTGATGGTGTTACCTCCTTTGCCAATAATCAAGCCAACTTTCAATCCAGGAATCATTATTTCTTGAATACCTGGATGTCCTGACATAATGTTTGAGACAACTGGGTTTGTAGTACCAGGAAAAGGTGGATTTGCTCCAGGAATTTGGTCACTCTCGGATTGGGCTCTCTTAACAATAGTTGTAATAAGTTCTTTGGCTCGACTGTAACAAAAGAAAATCACCAGTGACTTAGTAAAAAATTAGCAATTATGGTAAATGATATCACAATACATTTGCATATTTAGATTGAGTAAATATATATAATTACTACAGTGTTCATTAATAAGTGCTTTAGAAAAATGTTCATAAAATTGATATTCGTATCTCTATTGCATTAATATTCATAAAATTATCATCATCATATTTAAAAGATTAATTTTTTATACAGAATCATGATTTCTATTGGTTACATGATGAGTTGTTCCAAATTGACAAAACGATATCATCTTCCAATAGCATGAATAACGTATCCACACATATATCTACAATAACTGTCTGTCTTCACAATTTTCAAGCAAACTTTAAAACACATTTCAACCCTAGTGAATGAAAGCAAAAGACTATTAGTAAATACGAATTTCATCAAATAATAATCTCAATTCACTCCAATGAAAATAACAATGTCTACCTGTATACTCACATCCAGGATCAAGAACTAATTGATTATATCATAAATTTGTATAATAAAATATTTGTGTACAGCAAACATAAATATATAAGAATAAGAATATGGAAAATACATGTATATATATATATAAATATAGATATATATATATCAATATGAATAATAATGTTGGTATTAATTTTTATCAATTCAAGTATATCAATGAGAATAAGTATAGAATTCATGAATTAATCTATATATCACATATTTAAATAATTTTGTATGCATGAGTAATAATAAAAAATATCGTTTTAAATGTATTACACAGCGGCTTACTACATTATTATAAAAAATTAAACATATGGCCACATGTATAGAATGTTTATTAACATATAAAATACGCGAAAAAAGGATTCAACTTGTTTTTTCAATAGAACACTCAGTAAATTTGCTTTACTATATTTACCTTCCTTTTGCTGATTATAATTATACTATTTAATTATACTATTTTTTCAAAGAGCTTATTACATTGAGCATTTAATTTGTTAAATTAAAAAAAATATGATTTATGATATTTCTTAAAATTTATAGATATAGATTTCAAGTAGAGAGTGAAAAAAATATTGAAGGATTTAAATCATATTTCACATGAATATATAAAATATTTTCAGAAACATTTTTCTTAAAAGTTTGTGAAGATTAAATTTGAAATAAGATATATTGCAGATTGTATTGTAAATAAGTAAAAAGTAAGGAAAATATGTTACTTGACAGCATCCCTAGTGCCCGTAAGCGTGCATGTACGGTCTGGTAATCCTCCGCTTTCAGTAGCCATTTGTATTTTACAAGCTGTTTCACTTTGCAATCGTGTTATTTGTTCACCTCCTCGTCCAATAACTGAAAAAAATTATTACAAAAATTGTTTAAAACATTAACATATTATGATTTATTTCAATGTTATTTTACTTGATTTAAAGATTCAAGTTTTTGTCAAATTATTTGTGATATGATCTAAATTTGAACTTACTTAATCCAACCATTTTGTCAGGAACTCTAATTTCTTCATTGCAAATACCTCCAATAGCTGCAGGGTTTATAGATTGTGTCATATCTGGTTTCATTTGATCTTGTAAGCTTGGGTTTAAATTTCCTCGCATGCTTAATAATGGATCTGCTATAGTAGGAGCCAGCTTTTTGGCCTCTGGTTCTAAAAGAATAGAAATGAAAACAATTTTAGAAGATAAAAGTATTTTTGAACTAAATTAGTCAATGAATAATTCAAGTAATTTTAAAAAAGAAAAAAAAACTTCAAGGAAATATCAAAACTAAGATAAACATGAGTATTTTCAAACCCATTTTCTGAGATATTTCTGAATATTTTTTTTCATACAAGTTTAGAAATTAACAAAATGAAGACATTCGTTTTACTATTTAAAAAAATATTCAGTGAAAATCTCAGAAAACATTTTTGAACATATTTATTTTTATATTGACTTTGGTATCTCCTCAAGAAAACTGTGGTTGACGTAGTAAATAATTACCTATAGAATCTTCAAGGGGTCTTTTCTTGGCAGGATCTAGGCTATTCTGAGTTCCTTGTGGATTTATTTTTGCAGCAATCTTGAAATGAAAAAAATATATAATTCATTAAAATAATTTTATTTCACTGTATGTTTCACTATACCTCAGTTGTCATTGCAAATTGGTAACTTAAATAACAGTTATTATAGTTTGTTATTAACTAATTTGACATTAGTTACCATATAATTATTGGTTCTGTAGCACATTTATTTTTTGAGGAAAAAGTTTGAAATAATAAGTAAAACTTAAGTTGACCCTTTAATAGTTAATTAAAGTTTAATATTTATCCGATAATTTTTAACTGGTTCGAACATCATTCGGAGAAAAGTGTATAAAAAAGAGTTTTTTGACCATGAAAGTTTAATAAGTGTCGATAAGCAGTAAATTTAGTGTGATTTTGGAGTGGGGGAAACAGATACAATCCGCCATTCCATGCATGTGTACTGTATGCTAGACGCATGAAATAAAACGATGAGTCGTTGAGTCATTGGCCGTGTACCTTACGAGGTGTAATCAAAGAGAGATGCCAAGCGTGGCCGGGTGAAAAAGGGTTGCTGCTTATGCACAAGCTGTTCACTCACCTGCTTAGCGCGCTGAAGAGCTGCTGCGAATGCCGAGCTCTGGGAGAACGTCTGAGGTGGGCCGCCGGCGTTGGTGTCGTAGCCACTCATCGTGCTGCCGTCTTGAGACGTCTCTGCGGAGGCCGACTGAGGCTGCTGAAACGAGCCGAGCTGCTGCTGCTGCTGCTGGACCGACGCGGCCAGCGACTGGGACTGCTGCTGATTCAGCAGCGGCGGAGTGTGCTCCTGATGGTTGCTCGACTGGGACTTGCTACGGTGCTCGCGCTCGCCTCGGTCGCGATCCGATCTGTCTCCGGCGCCGCTGCTACGGTCGCGGTCGCCGCGATCTCGGTCGCGCGACGAGGACGACTTGGACGATCGCCGGTAGTCGCTGTCCCGGTCGTTCCTGTCTCGGTCGCTGCGCCGATAATCCTCGTCGTCACGGTCGCGCGAGCTGCGCCGCTTCTTCTTCGATGACGAACCCGTTGTGGCTGACTTTATGCGGCAGAGCCTCGATGGAGGCTCTGGCGACCTTTAGTTCTTAGTTATAAGGAAGGATGTGTGGTTGGTTGAGGTTCGATGCTCGAGATGCAGAACGGCGTAGCACACGAGCGAAAGTCTTAACTATGTGTCCACTGAATCGGCTCTCGCACTGCTGCTGCTGCTGCTGCTCTAGAAGCGGAGGGAGGCACGACTTTCTCGGACTGCGCCCACGCTCTCTAACGCGCACTACGAAACACGCACGCACCCACGAATCGCTGCTGCACTGATACACGGGACGCTCGTTGACGTCACCACCAGTAGTCACCACTTCACCAACAACTTTGATACAGGTCCAAATTCAAAAACGTATATGGGCAAGTCAATCGTCCCAAGCGGTGGACTCTTCGTAGGCAATGGCAATTCAATCAATGGAGGAGATTTACTTGAGCGTGGCGACGAGGCTTGATTCTCTCGAGCCGTTTCAGCGGTCTCTCTGTCTCTCTCTCAGAGACCAGAGTCTCTGTGTTTTGCGCACTGCACTGCCCTGCCCCCTCGGTCCCGCGAGTCACGCAACTTTCTAGTACGAACGAGCGTCGCGAATGTCGCTAGTTGCTTTAAAATTGTTCCGAAAATAGGCCCATTTCGTAAATTAGATTGAACTTGCTTTTTTTTAACAACTGTATACTGTATGCGTAATGCGATGAATAAGTTTTTCTGAGCAATTATTGAAACAGTTTTTCCATAATTTTTATTGTCAGGATATTTATCAATGTTTTACCGCAAAAGATTCGTAATGAAAATTCACAAAAATATTTTATATTTAATTACTCGATAAATATTGATCAATAGTTGAAATGTTTACAGAACTTGTTGCATTTTACCTTTTTCCTAATTAATTATGCAATATTGGTACAATAAATATTCGATTCGATGCAGTACTTGATGAAATTGAAGGGTATTTTATTCGATACTTTTCCGCTTCAAGATGTGTTTACACAAAAAAATAATTTGAAACTACGATTTTCAAAATACAATGATTTCAAGTAAAAACTAAATAAGCAATGCCACTATGGCTTCCTAAAATCAATGAATAGATATTATCAAACGAGTTTTGATAATATCTATTCTTATCAAACCATCTGTACAAGTCCATCGTTCTCAGTTAACAGCTCGTTTTTTCACGAAAAAAAAGCTTTTCGTGCGACTTTCAACGCTTATGTTCGTCTGTTGACTTGCTAATGTATGCCGCTCTTAAAATTCGCACGCTTGTCAGCGACAGGTTACTTTTGACAATGCAACATATGTAGAACCCATATGCAGTTGTCAGTCACGTGTTTGTATACTTTAGACTTAGATACCTATCGTGTCACCGAGAGATAATCAAAGTTTTATAAAACGCTCTTGAAACGCTAAAGCTTAATTAGATACCAATGCTTATGATTGAGAGCCGTCTTTAAGTGTATTAACTATTGGGGTTATATTGGAAAAAATATTATCATTTGATTATAAATTGTATTTTTAAAATTTAAAATTTATTTGTTCTCATAATGGATTTATCATTGAGTGAACCTTGTGTGGATATTAATCTACCAGAAGTTGACTTGAAAGCATTCGCATCGAAAGCCAAGGATTGGAATTTCTTGCATGGTATAGTTGTTAATCATATTATTTATTGATAATCTTTCTATGATGAAACAGAATAGTTTTTTAAAACTTGCCTTCTTCTTTCAGGAGTTATTATGAAATCTAAAAAGGATTTTAGCGAAGATCATGTGCAGATAGCTCCTTTTCTATTATTGCCATCAAAGTACCCCAAAAAAGAATTTAATAAAGCAAAACAAATACAAACATCTATTAATGCTCTCATGCATAAAGTGGCTCACGACTATGAATTTCTACAAAGTACCTTAAAAAAGTAATAATTTTATATGTTATTGATTTAAGCCTATATAAAAAATTTTTAATTAAACATGTTATTTATTTTTTACAGTACCATCGAAGTAGATTTTTTTACTTCAAAACTCTTTGATATTTATGAAAAAGTCCATTCCGAAGGATTTACGCAAGTATGTAAAATGACTGGAAATGTTTTAAAATGGAATGTTTAAAATTAATATGACATGATTCTGAATTTTTAGTCTATTAGCTTAGGATTACTTAGAGCAGACTATATGATGCACAGTACTGATGGTCATAAAATAAAACAAGTTGAAACAAATATGATTTCTTCTAGTTTTGCTGGTCTGAGTGTTCCTATAACTGAGTATCAGAGGTAATTTAAAATACTAAAAAAATTTTAATTATAATTTTAATTGTCTAAAATGTTTTATAGATTTGCTCTGAAAGAATTAGGTCATATGGATAAAGTAGCAAATGTAAGTGATTATGTTTTTTGCTATTCAGTAGTGAATAATTTATGATTAAAATTGAATTTGATTAAATTTGTAGATTCCAAATAATAATTCAGCTGAAGGATTTGCAATGGGTTTAGTAGAGGCATGGAAACTTTATAATACAAAAGAGTCTGTGATTATGATTGTTGTTGAAGATATTGTATATAATATATATGATCAAAGAGTGATAGAATTTTGTGTACACGCCTTAAATCCAAGTATAGTTGTGATCAGAAAAACTTTGAAGGATTTAATTGAAACTGCTCGAATTGGACCTAATAAAGAATTACTTGTGTAAGTATTGGAAAATTAACTTGTTTTTACACAAGAATATTGTAACGTTTGATCATATTTACAGGAACAATATGGAAGTAGCAGTCGTATATTATCGAACTGCCTATCAAATTGAAGCTTATACTTCAGAAAAAGAATGGTCTGTGAGGCTGCTAATAGAACGTTCACTTTCTATTAAATGTCCATCAATACATTATCAATTAGCTGGTACAAAGAAGGTAAAGAAGTTAAATTATAGGATTTTAGAATAAAGAAAAAATAATTTTTAATATTTATTGAGTAGGTGCAACAACAACTAGCTGTTCCAGGAATTCTGGAAAAATTTATTACAGATCCCAAAGAAGTAGATGAAATTAGAGATGTATTTATGGGTATTTATTCATTAGACTTGGTAAGTGTTGAAATGTTAATCTTATAAAAATTAAAAGTACAATAGTACAAATTATTTTATAAAATGTGTTTATTTTTAGAATGAACAGGGTGACAAAGCAACTGCTATGGCTCTGAAGAATCCAAAAAAATATGTTTTAAAACCACAAAGAGAAGGTGGTGGTAATAATGTTTATAATGAAGAAATAAAACTGCAATTGGATAGTATGAAAACTTCCAAAGAAAGATCAGCCTGGATATTAATGGAGAGAATTTTTCCTCCTCTACAAAAAAATTATTTAATCAAGGCCAATGAAGAAGTGAAAATGCAAAATTTTATTTCAGAACTTGGTATTTATGGTGTTATTATGGGGTGAGATGAGATTTTTTTTAACAGAGTGAAAGTTAACTTTCAGAATTGAAAATTCAATTATCTCGCGTTGACAACATTTTTAATCAAATATTATGTTTCAGCAATGAGAATCAAATATTTTACAATACTGAAGTTGGACACATACTTCGTACAAAACCTGCAGATGCAGATGAAGGTGGCATTGTTAGTGGTGCGGGAGCGCTTGATAATCCATACCTTGTTGATTAATTGCTTTATTTTTGTTACTTATACAAATTACAAATCAAATATATTTTATATTTTATTTTTAGTCTCTTGACATATTAATAAAAACATTAAAGTTGCTTATGATATATTATGTTATGGATAATAAAACAATATTTTATGTAACATTTTTTATTCTTCAGAAATATATAAAATTAGTTGAATTAATTTCAAGTTCGTTTAATCATTATGCATGCCTTTTTTCTATTCTCAAAGTAATTGGCTTTACGGGTTTCAACATCAAGTCAATTTTCAATCTTATGTCTTCCAGTAAAATTACTTGATCTTTTATCAAAACGTACTTTCTCACGATCATTGCCAATAAAACTTTCATAGCCATCATAGCGTATTTTCTTCCTGAAAAAGACGATAGCAAATAAAACTATAGCATTGGAGAAGTATTTAACGAAAAGTCCTACCTATGCAATTTCGTTGTCCACCACTGAAAGGCAAAAACGTATAAGGGTGTCTCTTTAAACATTCCTCGGGTAAAAATCGATCGGGATCGAATCTCATTGGATCTGGCCAGTACTCCTCGCTCCAGTGAGTTTTTAAAAAAGCCAAAACTACCGAGCTTCCTTTCACCAAGGTGTGTTCACCTAATTTAAAGTATCTTAATTAATAATCTTCGCATCGGACAAAAGAAGAAAATCAGCGTTTGCCAACCAATGTTCAAATCGTCGGTAATTTTTCGAACGACTATTGGCGCTATCGGAAAAAGTCTCAGCGTCTCCTTGATAACGCGTTCCAAGTAATCCATACGATTCAAATCCTCGTGTCGCACAGGCACATCACTGGGATCGCTATCGCCATATATTTCGAATTGTTCTTGGTAAACTTTCTCCTAAACGTTCAACAAATAGTATTAATTATCTCGATGATCAATAAAATTAAAACATTGTCGTCTTACTTGAACATCGGGAAATAAAGCTAACATGAAGAGTACGTAAGTATTTACTAATGCCGTTGTGTCATTGCCCTAAAACATCTGTAATGAACTTGAATATGAAATTTTTTTTACTGGATGTGTTTCAGTTGTTTACTTACAGCTATCATCATCGTATCAACTTCTTCCCTCAACTCTTCGTCGGTAAATTTTTTACCCTCATTAGTCAGCTCCATCAATTGATCTAAAAATGCTTTTTTGAACTCTCCGTCTTGAGCTTTTATAATTCAAATTGAACGATTAGCATGGTATTGAGTGCACACGAAAAATAATCTACTTTTCTAACTCACGAGTTTTGTTCGATGACATCAAAGCCAACTTTTTCTTTTTTATCACCTAAAACAACGCAACATAAACCGTTGGTTAACGATATTTGGGCGAAATCGAAAAATTATTTGAATAACACTCTGTTTGATCGAACTTCCAAAATGAAGTAAAAGCGTTTCGATAAAAATGTTTGTTAGCTTTAGATCCTCGAGCTAGACTTACTTGATCGGTCAAATCGTGAACGAATCGAATACCTTCGCGCCAGTTTCTTCCGTCTCTCGTTAAATTGAACACGATGTCCGGGTGCATCCATATTTTCAGCATACGCGAAAACATTATTTCAAAGAGTCTGCAATGGAAGTAAAATTCATTAAAAGGTCAAGGGTCATTGAAATGCATATTTTTGTCACATTTTACCGTTTTGCCGCGTCTACGTAGAGCGATTTGCGTTGGACTTGGACACTCGACGGCACGCCCATGGCAGTCTCTATAAAGATCGAGAAAATAGCTTTAAAAGACGCAAATTAGTAATTTCAAGCCGCAAGTAACACGTGTGTGTGTGTGTACCGCAGATGATGTCGAGGGTGCACAGCGAAACGTATTGAAATATGTCGAATTCGCCGGCGTCCAGTTCGACTCGCAGCTCCTTCACCAGGACGTTGGCTTGCTTGGCGAATATCTCGACGAAACCTTCGAGAATCCGCGGATTGAACGTCGGCATGATTAATTTGCGATGCAATCGCCACTTGCTCGCTGCAACACACGGAATCGATCGATTTGCGCGTGCGAAAAATCCAATAAAGTATAAAGAATCGGTGGTCGAGCGGCGCAGCGATGCTGCTCACGTATCGTTCAGCCTGTTATTGGCTCGTGCGCCAAACAAGGCAAATAAAACGACTTGTATTCAGAGCTCGTGTATGCGCGCGGGCACAACGCGAAATTATATACGCGCATTTCTATATTATCGTGTGGCGTGCCAAAAGTCGCTTATGGTCAAATTATATACTATATACCTGGTGCGGTGAATAAGCCCGTGCCCATCCAAGGCCTGGCGAATTTGTACAGGTCCTCCTTTTCGATTGCTTTGGAACTGGCGAGGATCGTCTGTGGAAATTTCAATCGCTGCTACGAAAATTTTGCGGAAAGTTACTTTCAAGTAAGCGAATCATTTGACTGACCTTTAACTGTTGAGGCTCGTACACCACGTAGAATAGTCGAGTACCGAGCCAAGCGTGAAAGGGCGACGGATACATGTTCATCCACTTGCGAAACTCGTTCAAGATGTCTGGGCAATCGAGCACAGCGTCGACCGGGAGAAAAAAAATCAATGAAAATCGATGAAGCTCGAGTGAAAAATAGTTATTTAGTTTTCGAGATAATTTACCTTCGGTACTGCCCATGAAATAGTGAGCGCTTCCGATGAACGGCATCGAGGGAGGCCCGGGACACTTGACAAGTTTGCGAATCTTGCCGAGTTTCCAGAAGTAAAATATCACCAGGTATAAGGCTGCACAAGCCAGAACAATAATCGTAGCCAAGAAAAGCCACATCTTTGCACAAAACTCGACTTGGATAAACAATTTTCCGTGCCGCGCGTTGTTCGCAACGATCGGTTTGCGATTGCGATGATCATACCATCGCGCGTAATCGAGTAATACTGAGACTCGCAGCTATGATCGTGCGCTTACCGATCGACCAACATCTCGGGAATAATAAGCGAATTTGACCAAGTTCACCGATCCACCTCACGTACGATCAAGGACGAAGGACGCTTTATAATGTACATATCGCGGGCAATTGTACACTTTTCCTTGTCATGGAAACTTACATTTTTACGGACAAAACGCAATAATGATTTTTTTTCACGGCTTAATTTAGTGTGAGTTTTACATGACATATAAACCTAGCCGATTCGACGCTGAGCGAAAAATTGGATGATTTTTGCACAATTATGAAAAATGTCTTCCTCGATCGGTAACTAACTAACTACCAAAATGTTAAAAAATCTGGTTAAAATTGTTTGAAATTGAATCTGTGTAATTCAGGGTGTAAAAAGCGAAGAATCGATGTTTTCAAGCGTTTCTCGTGTCCTCATTTTTGAATCGACGGATCAAACGTTTGAAAATAAGAAAAGAAACGATGAGAAATTTAAAAATGCTGTAATAAGCGCCGGTGATCGGCTGCAGCGGAAGACGCTCGAGTGTGATCGGCAACCGATCCCCCGCGCAAGTACTCAGAAACGTCATCCGCCGAGCGAGAAAACATCCGCGATTGCCATCAAATGTTTATTTTCGCTCTCAGTCCAGTACAGAATTAGGATTAATTACAAGAGCGAAGAGGGTAAGGAAACTCGTCGAATTGCCGATTACGGTCGAGCGCTATTTTCTCCTCGGGAGCGACTTACATAACTATATATATATGTACAATGTCGTAGCTGGAGCGCGCTCGGCGAGTGGACTAGGCTGCAATAGTGCACAGCTGCAGCGGTGCAAGTGCATGTGCATTATAGACTGCAGGGGACACGCGTCTACATACATGCAATGCAAAAATATTAGTCGCGTCGGGCGCGATCGAGTGTGTGCTAATACCTATATATGTAGTGCATTGTATACTCGCGCGCACCTTTACTTTGCGCCTGTCTTTTGGCACGAGTATACGCGCGCGCCTGCCTATACGTATATATATTCGCGTGTGCTATATATCTGTAGACACGCGCTGTGTATAGTGCATGGGCAAGAGCATCCATATAGAGAGAGCCTCACGTACCACGACTTGTCTCGCTCGTCCGAGCTGCACTGCAGTCCGTGTTGTACGGCAAATGTGCAGTTGCGTATACGTGCATAACATAACGTATATATAGCATACATAGTGAATAGAGCAGTGCGCGACATTGCGCTGCAACTTGTCACATCGACATCGTGATAATATATTCTAATAATTCGACGGATTTTGTGGCATCGCTGCAGTGCTGTCCTGTAATGATACATTGACAAGGCGAAATTAATACGGCGAGCTATACGGTGCAGTGTATCATAATCGTCCGTGGATGATCGCGCGGTCAAGTCCCCTGCTGATATATGCCATCCTACTTCTATATGCGTTGTGTACCAGCAGTGGCAGCAGCAGCAGCAGCTCACAATAGTACAATAGTTATATCGTACTCGTAGGCCAGCAGTAAGCAGCAGTTTTACTTGGCTGTGGCGAAACTCACGGCAGCTGCTGCTCTCGTCTCCCTTTTAAGACTACGGGGAAGCTCTCTAACCTGCGTCAAACTTAACGAGCAGCAGCACTACGTAGCTAGCTAGCAGCAGCGTGCCCAATGTCAATGTATAAGTATAGAAGCTAGAGTGTCGTCATGTCGATGATTATAAACTTTTCGCCAAGGACGTCGAATGTCCAGTAGTGCTGATCCTGTGCGACGTGCGCGTGCAATCGCAGTAGTGATGCACGATGATTACTCCGATCGTTCGTCCATACGATTGTTGTTTGCTCCGTCGAGCGCAGGTTTGTTGTGTGTCTTGTTTATTTCCTATAGCTCATTTCGATGTCTCTCGGGCTATACGCGTACCTGAACACTATGTTGAATTCGGTCAAATTTATATATAATACACACCTCTCTGGGAGCTATAACGGTTATGAGACTTTTAACGCGAGTCGAGCTTAACGCTTACTTATATAGAGTAGCCTGTTTATTTGTGAATCATATAGTCGTATATCTAATTAGTGCTTCCAAGTAGACTCATCGCGTATACGCACATACACGAGCGTCGAATTGAAGCAAGAGAGTAAGAGAGAGAGAGAGAGATAGGAGTCGAGCTATGATAAAACATATTCGGAAACAAAATTGAAAGAAGAGAGCTCCGATATAATACTTTGACGACATTGCAGAATCAACACTTTACGTTTTACGACATATACACGAGCATTTATATACATGCTAACAGGCGTGTATGTATACACATTCTCACTTATAAGTAGGCGAGACGGCAAAACATGTCGCGAATATACGTACGCATTATATCGCTTGTATCTTATCAAATTAAACGACACTTGAATATCCGGTGTATACGCAAGACAGAAAAAAAACTTCAAATGGGCCGCTTTCACTGCGTTTCGTTGCATTCTGTATAGTTGAATAATGTTTTAAACAAAAATTGGGCACACGTTATTTATCATAAAATATCGAAAATATTTTTATTTCGTACGGAAAAAAGACTCCCAAGTCACTATTTGCATTGCTTACGTTATGCGTCAACTTATGTTAGTCTAACAATACACACATACGTACTTTGCGTTCTCGCTCCTACTGTGCACGTACTTAATACGTAAATTTGCATCGAGCGCTTATTGTCATGCGGTAAAAACTTCGATAATATTTTAATTGTTTCTGGGCCATGAGTCACCATTACTTTCCCGTTTGATTAGACTCTGTGCTAATATCTGACATTTGGCTAACGAACGCGTTCGCCCAAGGATGTGATAATGCATATTCAGATATATTTGTATCTCTGTTAAACTTCATCTTTCTTTTTTTCTTTCGTGCAGGTTGCATCAGACTAAGTGATAGTTAAACAAACAAACTTTAAACATGATATGAGTGTGCAAACGTTGTGTTCAAATTTGCAAGAATCTACCATGTCTAGTTGTACAGAGGACAACTCAAATGTCTCAGGATTTCATCAGCTGAGTATTACCAGTACGTATCCAAGTAATCTAATTGCATTTTATTTTAGTCAAGTTGAACAATTAATTAGTTTATTCGAATGAACTCTTCATAACAACTTATAAATGCTCGCTATATAGTTGAATTTGTTGAAATTATCTCAGAATTCATGGCAATTGAAAAATTAAAAGCTATAATTGTTCACATAATAATATTGAATAAAAAATGTTAATAAATTATTTTCAATTGAACCTTATTAATGTGATTTAATCATTATATTTTCATATAGTTGAATCAGCAAGTCTAAGAAGTTCTACTTTTTTAAAACCAAATCCATACATTGAATTTTCCGTTGATGATAAAAGTCCTCGGAAAACAGAAGTAGCAAAATCAACTTTGCAACCTAAGTGGAATGAAGAATTTACAGTTCTGGTCACACCATATTCTCAACTTCACTTTCGTCTATTAGACCATAGCTCGTTTCGAAAAGATGCTCTAATTGGAGAAAAAAGAATTTCTCTTTACGACTTATTGGTACATTATAATGGAAAATTGGAAGGTTTAGAACTTACATTGGATTTGGTCACAGGAAAACATCATGATTATTGTCCTACTAAAGTAGGCGATTTAATAACATTATTTGATAGAATGAGACTTGATATGAGTAATGTACCACCTCCATTGCCAATAGCTCCTCCACCAAGTAATGGGCCAAGACATTCAGGTTAGTGTTTATTTGCTTATATCTTTTTGTACTGCTGTAAAAAACCTTTCTTTTAAAATCTAAAATGTTGTTTTTTTAATCAATTTCAACAGGAGCAATATCTGATTCTGCCAGTAATCATAGTATATTTAATGGTGGAATGCGTGCTCGCGTTAGATCAACAAGTTCAGAATTACCTTCCGCACTACCTCAACCTCCCCAATTAATGCGCCTAAACTCTTTAAATAATTTGCAAGATTGCAGTGGACCCAGTGATAATGAACCGAGTAGTAGTCGAGCTGTGGCTTTATATACTCCATTTATGACAAACAATTCCACCAATCATAGTAATGCAATTATTAATAACATAACACCTGAAGCAAGTTGTTCACCATTACCAAGAAATGCTGCTGCTCCACAACCCTGTTCATCAAGTATGCCAAGTCAGGCTGAAAACTTGCCTCAAGATGAGCCTTTACCCGCTGGTTGGGAAATGAGATTCGATGTATACGGAAGACGGTTTGTATTTCCGTTTTAATTTATCAATGAAGTTTGAAAACTTTTATTTACATTAGTCTTTTCTTTACATAAAAATAGGTACTATGTTGATCATAATACGCGTAGTACTTCATGGGAACGACCACAACCACTACCTCCAGGTTGGGAAATGCGTCGAGATATGCGGGGTCGCATTTATTACGTAGATCACAACACTAGAAGCACAACATGGCAACGACCTAACACTGAACGATTACAACATTTTCAACAATGGCAAGGAGAACGCCAATATGTTGTGCAACAAGGGAACCAAAGATTCTTGTATCCTCAGGTTCGTAAAAATGTTGATCTTTCATTTTTCTTAATTTATTAATTTCTATTACTAAGATTGATAATAACTTAAACTGAAGAATTGAAGATATATTAATCAATTTCACATTCATCGCGATAACATTTTGATGTATTGTTAGAAGTATACCTGTACTGAAAATGATTTCATTAAAAATTTCTAGGCTCATCAAGCAATGGCTGCTGGACCGTCAACATCCACAGCCGTTGAAGAAGATGATGGCCTGGGTCCTTTGCCTGCGGGTTGGGAAAGACGCATGCAACCTGAAGGACGACCTTACTATGTTAATCATAAAAATAGGACAACGCAATGGGAAGACCCGCGAACACAAGGTCAAGAGACAATGGATGAAGGTCCGTTACCCGATGGTTGGGAAATACGAATGACTGAAGATGGAGTACGTTATTTTGTTGACCATAACAATAGAACTACTACATTTCAAGATCCTCGACCTGGTGCACCAAAAGGGTATAATGCAGCAAAATTTATAATATCTTTATAATAAATGTTATTTTATTAATCGTTTGCTAATCAATTTTGACAATAGCCCAAAAGGAATATGCAGAGTTCCACGAGCATATGAGAGGTCGTTTCGATGGAAGCTCTCACAATTCCGCTTTTTATGTCAAACCAACGCATTCCCCAATCACATCAAAATAAGTGTAACTAGACAAACTTTATTTGAAGATTCTTATAATCAAATTATGAACGCTGAAGCGTTTGCTTTGAGGCGAAGATTGTACATAATTTTTAAAGGAGAAGAAGGATTAGATTATGGTGGAGTTTCAAGGTATAACATAATTCGACTGTTTAAACATCTTATTGCGTCCATATGAAAAATACAACTTTGCATTTTTTACAGAGAGTGGTTCTTCCTTTTGAGCCATGAGGTTTTAAATCCAATGTATTGTCTTTTCGAGTATGCCAACAAAAGTAATTATAGTTTACAAATAAATCCCGCGTCGTATGTAAATCCAGATCATTTGAACTATTTCAAGTTCATAGGAAGGTTTATAGCAATGGTAAGTCAAATATATAATATTTTTTATACTCTCATAGAATCATTTAAAATTTACCATTTTCATTTTCTAGGCACTCTATCATGGTCGATTTATCTACAGTGGTTTTACTATGCCATTTTACAAGCGCATGCTTAATAAAAAATTAATTATGAAAGATATTGAGTCCATTGACCCTGAATTTTATAAATCACTTGTATGGATAAAAGAAAATAATATTGATGAATGCGGTCTTGAACTGTATTATGGTGTTGATTTTGAAATTCTTGGTCAAGTAATACACCATGAATTAAAAGAAAACGGTGATAAAATTAAAGTTGTAGAAGACAATAAAGAAGAATATATAAGGTATTACACGATTAAATTTATCTTTTTCAATATTGAAGAAAAAATTTAAAATATAAAAAATTAATTTAGATTAATGACTGAATGGCGTATGACCCGAGGTATCGAAGAACAAACAAAAGCATTTTTAGATGGTTTCAACTCGGTTGTACCGCTTGAATGGTTGAAATATTTTGACGAGCGAGAGCTGGAACTAATGCTGTGTGGAATGCAAGAGATCGACGTCGATGACTGGCAGAGAAATACTATTTACAGACATTATACGCGTAATAGCAAACAAGTTGTGTGGTTTTGGCAGGTAATGTTCAATTTTTAAAAAAAGTGAATTATTATTAATGATTATTTTCAAACCTACATGTATTCTTATTATTTGTAGTTTGTCCGGACAGCCGATAATGAAAAGAGAGCTAGATTGTTACAGTTTGTTACAGGAACATGTAGAGTACCAGTTGGGGGATTTGCCGAGCTAATGGGTATTGTATTTTTTGAGAAATTACGTTTATTTAATGATTTGTTCATGTACAATTCATAAATTCATAATTTTCAAAAAACTATGTAGGAAGCAACGGTCCACAAAGATTTTGTATTGAAAAAGTTGGCAAAGAGACATGGTTACCACGTTCCCACACATGCTTCAACCGACTCGATCTTCCTCCTTACAAAAGTTATGATCAAATGGTTGAGAAGCTCAATTACGCAATAGAAGAAACTGAAGGTTTTGGACAGGAATGAACTTTAAGTCTCATTCAAAAAATTACGCTAATTTTCCTGACGATCCTAAGTATATTAGTTTTTAGCATTAATATTTTTATTGACAATGATTTTTAAATTCCACCACAACTAACACATCAAATTTATACCGTGCCACATAATTATAATAAAATTATTTTGAGCCGTGATGATTACAAAAATTAATGGTCCTAAATGGATCGAAAAAATTTCTGTCTGGTGTGAATATACTTGATGTTTTGAATGAGATCTGAGTTAGTAAAACAATCTTTCACGGACTTCATTCTGAGATGATAAAAACCAAACATTCCTTTCAAATAAAAATTAGAATTCTAAAGATTTTCAATCTTTATGTTTTTCGGTAATGAGACTGAAGGGCGATCGCTTAATTGTTTTCTGTTAGCGAAACGCAAATTTTTGAATTTTTAATGATGTAATGTAAATACATAGTGTATCAAAAATTAAAAATATTTAAATTAACTTCAATAATCTCAATTGTAATTAATTGAAAAATAATTAATTTTGTTACCGCTAAAGTGCGGAATTTTATTTGTAAAAAAGTTACAAGAATCAATTGGTACTTTTGTGAAATATTTTTACATCTCCAGTTGATAAATTCTTTAATGTTTTTTTATGATTTATTTAATTATATAAAGTATTTGAAATTTTTTACTTAAAATTTTTCTATACCCTTATTAGTTCGAGACAAAAAAAATGTATATTAAAAAAATTTATGAAAATATTTATTTTTAAATTTTTGGTTTCTATGGGTTTCAAAAAATCAAAAAACTAATTTTACATTTCTTTTAATAATATTTAAATTTAATTGAAAGTGTAGGAAAATCTTTCTTAAAAGAGTCTATCAATTCAGAAAAAAAGTAAAACATAAATTTTTATAAAGAATATATTTTTCTAAAACTATTGAGCGTGATTTTTAACCATATTAATGTTAATTTAACATTTAAAAAATACTGTATCGAGCATGATTCAATTCATTAAATATCGCTAGATTCAGATGTATGTATTATGTGTGTTAATTATTATTTTTAGATGGAAATATGAGTCCTATACTATTTTACTATGAAAAATTGTAATTATTAGCTTTGCACCTTAAGTGAAATATTTTAAATTAACTAATTTATCTACTAAAATTTCACTAAGAATTTTTTGAACCAAAGTTAAAGAATGAATAGGAATTAGCGTTTTTCGCGAATTGCTTACAGTAAAAAATTAAACATCTACTCTGTCATGTTACGTATAACAACTCTGAAAGTTGCTGGTGAATCTACAACACTTACCCAACTAATTCTTTTGTATTTAATTATGGATTCAATAGTACAATACTTTATTATTTTTGACCCAATTGTCAACTAATGGTAGTTTCTGTACATTTAATGTTAAAAAAACTAGAGTAACTTTGTTGTCCGTGTTAGATTGCTACTTAAGAGTTAGAGGTTTTACGAAAAAAACTTTCAAATAATTTAACCTGTTAAATAATAATTTATCTGTACCATAATTGATGCGTGCTAAACATGATCAGCTGTACATAGAGTATTTGTACAAATGAATCGTACAAAGTATGTAAATACTCGAAGTTTTATGAAAATATAAATTAGATTTATGATGAAATTATTTATTTAAAGAATACAAGTGTTTAATATAATTTATCACTTGAATCGTTCAAGATACAAACGATCAGATAAAAGAAAAAAAAATCAATAAATATTGCTTGGTAAAGTACGAATTTTGAAGGTGTATAAAATTTAATTTAAAAATTTTATTAGAAGTCAAGTCAATTTTACGTTTTTAATAAAATAATGACAAATTAAGATTACTCCAATAAAAGCATCTGTCGATTTTTGCAATATCTTCACTAACATAAATAATAAAGTATTCAAAGTTATTCGAAAAATTTTTTGTATAGGAATTGGTTTCTAATAAAATGCCAAGTTGTTGAAATGTCTAAAATTATTAATTTTCTATAGATATTTTAATAGAAATACTTGATATCACCTTATATCAAAAAAAGTAATTGCCAGTGTTAAAAAAATTAATGTCATTATTTTTCACTGCATAATGAAGTATGACAGTATCAAATGTGTGTAGATTTTACGTCAATTGTACATATATTTCAATTATAAGGGATACAATGTAATTAAAAAACAGAAATATATCGTTATCAGAAACTTTGAACTGATTTTTCTTTTATTAAAAATATTTGACTAAACATGTGGCTAACTTAATTTTTATAATTTTTACTCAGCATTAATTCATAAAAGATACTAAAGTCAGAACAATCAATTTATATACATTTTCTAATTTTCTAAAAATTATTCTATTAAATTTTATTATAGCTTTGGATAGGGTCCAAAAAATGAATACCATGGAACATCATCTTGACTACTTTCTCTCAAAGGAGATTGGAGAGTTTGCCATTTTTCATCAAAACTTTTTAATTCATCTGAAAATAAATATAGTAATGAATATATAGAATAAATTTTCAAAAATTAATGAGATTTTGTGGAAGATTTAAAACTTACTTTCATCCATATTTACTATATCTTCTGATTGAGTTTCTGACCCATCATTAGCTTTTCTGGTAGTAATTGTGTGTAATTTATTTCCTATTTGTCTAGTAACACTAATTTCTTCATTGCCCTCATTATCCCTCACTGTTTTACGCTGTTCTACACTTCCATCTGGTCGTCTGATCATTTGTGTAGAACTACTGAATGCAGAAAAGAACGATTTTCTGCTTGGTGAAAAAGGTTGAACTGAATTGTTTGGGCTTTTCCAAACTTTGGCTAGTTCATCTGAATTTACTCTAGATTAAAAATAAAAATTTTAAGTACGAAATGTATTTAGTAATTAATCATAATCTGTTAATACTGTTTATACTTACTTTCCATCAATATCTGTGTCCTGTTGATTCCCATCGGGTAATTGATAAGATGGTTTTAAAAGATCTTCTCTGAGTCTCTTTGGATCTGCATTCTCACCAGGAAGTTGGATGGAAAAATTGTCAACTATAAAAATATTTCAAATTAAATTCGTAATCATTAAAATATTGAAGTAAAAATGTTTATTTCAAGGCATACTTACATCCATGAGATTCCGGGTTAACAAATTGAGGTTTTAACACTTCATCTCTTGGACCTGCTTTGTGTTTACTGTCATCAACCGTTGGTGGTAACATATTATCAGAACCTATTGTATAGATGAATGATGAAATTATGTACAAAATTCTTTCAACGAAAAAATACTTTTCTTGAAAATTTACGTCTTTATTTAAATTGCAGTGAAATATATTTTAAACTTTATAATCAACCCACCTTCAAAAGGACCGATGGCGAATTGACGATCACCGAAGTTACCAAGACCGAAACCGCCAAAAAAGCTCTTCATCAAATCATCCATTTGGGTTTCGAAAAATCTCGTCATTTCGAACGGATCGCTAAATATTCTGAACTGATATCTGCTTTGACCTCTGAAAAAAATAACGATTACGTATATAACATATGCACCGTATATAATACAACTCTACACAAGTACACAAGTACGCATGGGTAGTAATGGTTGTGCAGTACACATACCTAAAGTCGTTGATGTCGTCCTCATCCTGGTCGTCGGTTTGCCAAATGGGGTTTCTGAAATTATTGCCGTACCTCGGATCATCTCGGAGCCTACAAAATAGAGATCGAATGAATTTCGAATGTAAATGTGTAAAAAAAAAAGTATCGCCGAGTGCATACAGAGTAGTTCATTATTTTGCACGGAACTTTCTAGATTATTCCCTTAGCCGTCACTCGATACATGGTACTAACCTATGTGGTTGCGGCTCCTGAGTTGAGCTTTTGCCAAAGATACCGCGGAAGAAGTCGAAAATCGACGACATGCTATTTCGAATGATTTAATTTCTGCACACACAGCAACGCTTTATGAAGGATGAATATGTCACGCTTCTAATGCCTATTGCGTCAGCTGGCTCAAGATAGGCGTCAGGCGTTATTATACGTCCGCACTGTAACGTATTCGATCAAAGACTAGCGGAGCGTGCTACGATTCGTGCAGGCGGAGAGAGCAGCATCGCAGTGCTGTCAAACGAAGCAGACCGACTGGCGACCGCGTCGGACTGTGTGCGCAGTGTTGTCATCAATTAATTGGCGATCTGTCAAAAATCAGGATCGTTGCAAGCTCGTCGCGGCAAATATTTCACCGAATCAAGATCAAGGTATACTGTAAATTAAAACAATCAGCCTTAGATATATTGCTAATTTATCGGTAGCTTATGCTCTTTGATAAACTACAATATCTATGTTTGTTTTTCAATTGAGCTTTTTAATAGACATTACAAGTGTTTAATTTATAATTCAGAATAATTATTACAAAAATACCATTGGAACACGAGCAGTGATTTATTGACAAGCAATCAATTGCAGAATTAACGTGTGACGTATGTAATTGCAGTCATCCACGTATTTGACCATTGGCAGACAATTTATGCATAAATCTGAATTATGATACTCGCTTCAAAAGATTAACTTTAACTTTTTCAATTTATTATCAATTGCGATATTTATCCACCAGGCAAATCGTCAGTTTATTTGCACGCATACGACGTAGCAGTCGAATATTGCGCCATTAATTTCGCTCTCAGATTGAATCAGTGCAATCGTCAGTCACTTTATATGGAAATTACTCATTTGACAGTTAAAACGGATTTTTTGATAAGCTTTACTGAGTGTGACAGCTAATGGAAAGACATCGCTTTCACCAAAATTTTTTAGAGCCAATTAGTTTTTCAAACAGTGTCAAAACAAAATAATTTCACCTTACCCTGGAGGTTATGTCGTGTCACTGGTTAGTTTGCAGTAATAATGTTGCTAAAAAATTGTGCTAAATAGTATTTTCAATGCATATGACTCTGATAGTGATTCGAAATTTTTTCAATTGCCATTTGAACTTGTGTCAACATAAACCATAATGCAAAATTATGATATTTTTTTCAGATCAATAAACTAATGGAAGTGGAGATAACAATTTACTTTTGGAAAGTAATGAAGACAAATCTTTAAAAAAAAAAGAAAAAAGAAATCTCAAAATGAATAGTTTAACTGGACAATTTAGGAAAACCACTTGGGATCCTATACTCATTGTTGCTCAAATTATTGCTGTACAATGTCTTATATATTTTATCTTGGGAATCATGATAATAATGATAGCTACTCTCCTTGGAACTACAAAATCTCTAGATTATGCTTTTCAGTACAAAGAAATACATGTACGAGATTTTGGAGGACACTTAGTTATTTTTATTTTTATTCTTAACTCAATTGTTGGTGCATTAGCATTGTGGTATCTTGTTCAGAGAACAAAACAGTGTATGGACTTTGCGTGTACAGCTCATTTAATACATTTAATTTGCTGCTGGATTTATAATGGCAGCTTTCCAACAACATTTAGTTGGTGGTGTTTAAACTTAGTCACTACGACTATCATGTGTGTTTGTGGAGAATTTCTGTGTATGAAAACTGAGTTGAAAGCTATTCCTCTGAGTATGTTAAGTCAAAAGACAGCCTTGTGAAAGTAACTTTTGTAATGATGTGTACAGTAAAATTAACTGTTGACTCCCTAAGTGTTTGAAAGATATTTGTAAAATGTTTAGTGAATCAACAAATTGTATAGTGTTATAAATTTTCTTGATATTCAAGTTTTATAATAAAATTATTATAGTTTTTACACAAAAAAATCAAGTTATGTATTTTAGTTCTGTTGAAATTTATTCTTTTTTTACAACTATAATTTTATTGGTAAACATTTTATAAGCAGCCATTGCTTTCAAATATCATACAGTAGTAACTAATCATTTATATTACAAAATAACTTTATTAATTCAACTACCAAGTTTTAAATTGATTCATCAGTGATGGTGATGGTCATCTTCCTTGTAGAATCTTAATCCACAGTAGCCACATGAATGATTGCCTGGTTTATCCTAAAATATTAATACAAAATATATAAGTTAAAAGCAGTTTAATTTTTTTTGATTTATTAAATGTTTTATCAAATTTGATAAAACTTAATGCCAAATATATTTGAAATATCCATACCAAGTTGATATAAACTTTAGGATGACCAAGTGGTCCACCACCACCATCACAGGATACAATTCTAGCCTTTACGGGTTCTGGTGGTACCTCTGCGATTAAATCTATTGCCCAATTACTGTTGACTTCTTTGGGCCTGTCGACAAATCTTGCCAGCCTACGATCCTTAGGATCGAATTTCTACAAAACGTAAAAAAAAGACAAAGAATTATAATCTTTGCTGACTTTATAATAATCCAGCCAATGTAATGTTTATTTTATAAATTGCTTCAAGGGCAAAATACAAAAACAAAATAATGAAACTCTAGTCGAGAGCAAAATGTAGCAGAACAAAACTGACGTAACCTCTAGTCGAGTCGAATGAAAAGAAAAATTAGATCAATAATGACTTCTTCGCTTACTTGGCCAGTATGTGTAACTTTGTCTTGAGGCTCCCAAGATGCATAATGTCTGGTGCATGGAATAAGTAATCGGGGAGCCGATTTACATTGAAGTTTTTCGCAACTAGGGATCAAACGGATGACACTTCTAGACGCCATATTTTTGGTCTTCTACTCTCTGTTCTTATCGACCGAGTTGGTGGCAGTGCTGATCGATGTCACGACGGCCGCATGGATAAATATAAGCAACAAAAGTGTCCGTGGCTAAATAAACACTAAAATTTTTCCATTCAACTTGTTCGGTTTAATGAAAAAGGTTAAGTGTATCGAAAATCAATATTATAAATACAATTATTTTCAAATGAGACTGTCTATTTGACACAACTCCTATTTCAGGCCGAATAGACAGTCACTTTTTAAAAATTCGAATTAAACTTATTGATAAACGACTTTATTTTTTTTCTTAAATTATTATTCTTTTTATCATCTTGAAAAAACCCAATTGAAATTGTTTGCATAGAGAATATTTTCTGTATTGCTTATCCGTGAGCTTGCATGCCGCAAGTGCAATATTACTCGAGACGTATTGAGAGTTAAACTTTTTTAAACGTATTGGATTATTATGTAAGTCAAGCTCTTTTTCAATTCGGCGGAGCACTAACTACTACTGTAGTGTGTACCTGAATTCGATGAACTATTTTATGACATATATAGTTCGGAACGTCATTTAAGTGCTTGCACTGCTCGCTGAATCTTGTACGATCTCACGAATTGAAAGAAGGAGTTTAGAAATACACGGTCAAATATAATTATTAAAAAAATGTCATGTAGGAAAAGCATATAATATATTGGGTAAAGAGCGGGGCTGTAAAATGCCCCATACTCGCTTGTTATGCCACTCTGTTGGATTATTGTATTAATTCTCAGAAACAGTCTTTTGACGCGCTTCGATCGAATCATATGAATAGAATAATCGAAATTCAATTTATTAACTTAAATATTTGATTTATTTGAATTACATGAAAAGTCTGACAAATTTAATAACACAAACCACCAAAAGATTCTAAAAATAATGCCTTTATAACGCCATAACTAATTTTGTCCTGCCACCGCGAGGCAAATATTACGCAAATCCTCGTTGGTCAGTTCGTCGATGATCATGTCGCAGCAGAGAATCGGCAGCCGATAGCGTGTGAGCTCCATGAAAGGCTCCAGCGCCCAGCTGTAGAAAAATTTTCTCCAAATTTTCTCGCACAGTAGCACGAAACAGGCCCGTTCATGACTAGTGGGAAGCATCAACATTTTGTTCGAGATCGTGAACTCCCGGTATTCCTCGGCGGCGAGTTGTTTCGCAATCTGTCCAGGTCGCAGCCGAAACAGGTCGTAGAGCGTCAAACTCGGTTTGACAATCGTCTCCTTGGTCGTTTTCACGAGCTCCTCGTCGTCGTACCAACGCTCGTTGAAATTCGTCGGCCTCTCGAACAGGCCGTGCTTGACGAATGTTTTCATGATCGTCAGGGCGTCGCTTCGATCCAGTTCGTATCCTCTCTTCTCTAAACGTTCGACGCAGACCAGAAGATTAGGCACCAGTCTTAATCTTAGATCAAGCCAATCGTCGATCATATAATTCTTCGGCGCTAGTACTTGGTCGGCGAAGTAACTCTCGTCGGGAAAAACGAAGCTGGACAGATCGGCGCCACGATCCAAGAGCACATCGACATTATCGGCCGATAGTCTCGCCACGGCCCATTGCAACGGTGTTCGACCCAATTCGTCTCGAGCATCGACTTGCACCTGAAGATGTTTTTTTTCACTGATCTCCAATAATATTTTCGCCAAGTCACCTGAATGGTGATTCTGAAGAATAATGTGCAGGGTTGTCTGTCCTTTGATATCGGTTGAATTCGCATCGCGCCTCTTCGCAGCAGCACTTGGACCTGCTTCTTGTTGCGGTGGCGTACGGCCCAGTGTAACGGAGTATTGCCAAACTTGTCCCTAGGGTCGATGTGCACCGGCCGGTCCAGCTCGTTGCAGATCTTGAAGAGCATATGCATCGAGACGGAATAATCGTCGCAACAGTCTTTGAAAATAATGTGCAGGAGTGTGAATCCGGCCTTGTTAACTAAGTTGGGATTGGCACCATTTCTCAGCAACAATTCAGACACTTCACTACAACAGTTCTTGAAAGACAAGTGTAGAGGCGAATCAGCTGTTTCTGGCACAAGTTGGTTTGGATCCTGGCCGAGCTCGAGGAATTTCTCGACGACGTCGCCACAGTCAAACATACAGGCCACATGGAAATGCGTCAGTGCTGATTCATCGGTGTAATTCACGTCGAATCGGTTGTAGACTTTGAAGAGGTCATCGACCATACCACTCAATAAAAAGCACAAGATGCAGTGCTGTCCTGCGAGCACGTAATATTCTATTATTTTCACTTGTTGAACAAAAATCACTCGCTGCAGTTGATGCGATCTTTTCTCGATGTTCACGCTGCACCGCCGTAACCTGTACTACAATTTTCATAGTCACAGTAAAGAAAAAAAAACACGTGGATGATGCTATAAGAGATGCAACTAACTAGCTATGTACAGTCAAAGTCATTAAATTCGGTAACGATTAGAAAGCGCAATTCCATATAGGGAAGCAGGGGAAAAGGAAGACATGTTATTATATTGCTGTGCATTTTATTCACACGAGTGTCTCTGCCACGCTGGACGTACGCTATCCGAATTAAGTGTACATCGACGCTGCTTATGAGTAAAAACACAGTGAATCATTGCCAGATCGCTCCGAGGCCCATGAAACGAGCTTCGACGTACGGCATGCCTGGGTCAACTCGACGGGCTATTCTCGTCAGTTTCTTGCTAATAAATCGCTGTTTCGAGGATTTCTTTAGTTTTATGTTGTGATTTTTTGTCAATGACGATTCGACAAATACGGTATCTACATGAAAAAAAAATCATTGAAATAATTACGTTATAGTAAAATATACGTATCAAGGAATGTGGGAGAGGAAAAATAAACAATTTTAAACAGTCAGGTAATTTTTAATACGAGAATAAAAATCAAAAAAATTTGAAAATTATTTTGAACTCCACAAACGATTTTGATTGGTCCGCATAACTGTGACGTACTGATAAGTATGACGTCGCGGTCCGCTCGCACAGCTTCAAGCGCTTTCGGCGCGTTTTTGGCCGTTTGAAAAGTTGTATTTTCTGGAACGATAAATTTTTGAATGAAAACGCAATGAAAAAGCAAAAAAAAATATATTCATTGATAATTCATATATGATTCATGTAAGAGATATTTCAAAAATATCATTAACTTTTTTTATGCTAATACCCTATCCGAGGATCATTACCAGATCGCTCTGAGGCCCACGAGATGAGCTGCTACGTATGGCGTACACTGGCCAACTGTCGATCTTATTTTGTAGATAAAAATGGGATTCGATTTTTCTTATGTGGTTTATTTTTATTTTCGACTTGTGAACTTTCAGTATATATTAATTTTATATAGCGCTCGTGAGGAAAGATAAAAAAGTGACTCTCATTTTTCGGCGTTTATGTACATTATCAGTCGCTTAAGGTGGCGGTAAAGTTGAAACTATATGAAAGCTAAATTAATAATTATAAGTATCAGGGAAAACGAGATGGATTATGAAGCGATCTGTATCTAGTGCATATAACGCCGTGTGCGGGTGGTGTGTGATGACGAGCCGTGTTTACAAGGAGTGCGTAAGTGTCATCGCACGAGTCGATCCACTATATGTACAGACCTGCTCCTGCATGGGACTGCTGCGATACACGCGACGTCGTTGGGCAAAAGTGCGTAGGTCGAGTTGCTCGCACGACAGTCGGAATCTCCAAGTTCGAACTTGCGGAATCGGAGCATATAGGATAATAATGGTGCGCGCTGCGACCGAGAGACACGCGAATATCCAAAGCGCGTGCATTAATATCTGCTGTATACAAGCAGGAGCGCAGCACTCCCCCGGTAACCGGATCCCTCTGGTGACGATGCACTGTAACAATCCCTACGCGTGTGCCCGTGTCTGTGTGTGCGCCAAGCACAAACTACTTGCTGCTGCTGGCTGCATAAAGTCACACAGCTTATACACAACACACGGAGGACTGCTGTATAGGGAATCGCGCGGCGGTCGCGCGCCAGCCGATGGCTTTATGGGTCTGTTCTCGGTGCGCTCCTGCCAAGCTATATACATTGCGAACTGTTGCTTGTATGCCTACCTTATATACACTATACTCGTATGTATGTGCGAATCGTATATAGAAAGGTTGCGGAGAGTCGGAGTCGCAACAACTATATAACATACACTAAGAGCAGCAGCGGCGGCACACACACACACACACACTCAGCCCCGCAGTATATACTACTACCTACCTCGGTAATACTCGTGCGCTGCGCGATTTCCAGAGTTTACATTGTGTTGTGTGTGCCGTGCATATATAGTCGCGACGTTACTGCCGCCGAGCTCTGACGTGCTGCGCTCCGAGTGTGCCGCGCGCCGCGTCGTCGAGCAGCTCGCCGCCCCGCGTTCGTACTACGTTATACTGTACATATCGTCGCGATAAAAAATATTTCTTCTATTATACTTTGCGGGCTATCGCGCGAAAAACCAATAGTAGAACGACCATCGAGTATATATACTTGTAATACCAAAGTGCATCGCGCGAGTGTGCATCGAGAAAAGTTGCTGCTCGCGGGGCCCCCTTTGGAAACCTTTGTACACAGGCTGCAGTTGTGCATTATCGAGCTGTATACGATACGCGCGATCACTGGCTCCCGTTGATCGTATAATACCGATGCTGCTGCAGCTGCCGAGATCGAGCGAAACGCGCGACCGATACCACTACTCGCGTTCCGCGAAAATTTTCGAATTCTTCGTCGTTCGAGATTCGACAAAAATCCTGCCTACCGAGAAACGCTCTACGATCGCGGTACAGTGTTGATTCCGAGTGTGCACAGTTACTGAGGTGAGACGTGCGAAACGATGCTGCATCGCCTTTATTTGCGCGCTGTGTATATTATGAAGTAAATTTTGTATCACATATATTATATATTATATGTGTGTGAGCATGTGCGCGCTCGCGCCTGTGTCTGAGTGTGTTGCGTGCGTGTAACAAAAAAAGTGCATGTAGCAACAGAGCAGCAGCAACAGCAGTAGCACCGTGTATAGAGCGGAGCAGCAGCAGTGGCATGGGCAGCAGCAGCAACTGTTGGCGAAGGACGTGAAAGTGCGCCGAGACACATTCGGTGTATATAGATATATAATA